CCATCTACCTCGCCATCAACCCAGTCATTGACCGACGTACCAAGCACTTTGACATCCGCTACCACTATGTTCGAGAGCAGGTCGAAAGTGGGAGCGTTGAGGTGTTCTATGTTGCTTCTGGGGAGCAACTTGCCGACGCGCTGACAAAAAACGTGCCCTTCTCCATATTGGACCGTTTCCGTCGCAGCATTGGCTTGGTGTCCTCCACATCTTGAACGAGTGGGAGTGTTGAACTTCTGTGTCTACGGCTGTGCCGGACCGGGAGTGGCAGTGATAGTGGCTGTGTGTCTACCATACGCCAGCATGGACTTTCCCACTTACCATATACGTACATTCTTTTGTTCTGTACTTACTTGGCATTCTGCCATCCCTCCATATGATTCTGGTACGTTCTACGATGTTCCGGACTATTCTAGACAGCGTCCGGATTACTCGCATTACTCAGCCATGGACTATCTGACCTTATGTCGATTATGCTCCCTTACTCAGTGTTACTCATCGCTCAGTCAGCGTCCTCTGGACGTCACATGCCCTCTTCCTATACGCTTACTCATCGTCCTCCCCAGTAGCATATAAGGAGGACTCTGCAGGCCTCTGCTCTTCAGTCGTTCTCTCACAGACTGAAGACCTCTCTTTGTGCGGCTTACAGCCTTCCAGGTTCAGAGTTCATCAGTACAGACGATGGAGTCTCGCGAAACTATCGAAAAATGATACACCAGCTAAGCGGGCACCAATGCAGGGATATCCATTGAGGAGACACTAGAGTGCACATACATGTTGGACACTGATCCACTCACTTGTGTCTGAAAGCAAACCCCGCAGCGTGGTGGCAAGCGCAGAACTCTCCCCGCCCAACTCTCCCCAGTCCGGCACATGGCACCAAGCCCTGTGGCAGAAGTCGCGCATTGAGCGACGGGTAGTGGCTTGGCGGATTGCGTGCGCATCAAACCCCTCGTGATAGTCAGGGTGATTGAGATTGAAGTGCAAGCCCATTAACGTGCTCCATCAAGCGCGCTCCCACTCATAATAAACGATCACCTGTCGCATCTCCTCGAGGAGGACATCGACCTCCTCAGACCAGAACCCTTACGGACAGCTATCTACGCACTCGAGGGTGCCTCTAGGGCAGTGGCGCACTGCACCACTGTTCATTTGCTCAATCTCAGCCTCTTGCGAGAAAGGGCGCCCAAGTGAGCCAAAGTTAGATGAAGTGAGTGAAAGTAATGGTACTATAGCATAGTACTTGTAAGTACAGATACATAAGATACCCATTAACCTATTACAGTCTATTGAGTGAGAGGCTATAGCTTATTACTCACTTCATGGTCATGGTTGTGGTCGTGATCAAGGCGAGCGCAGCAAGTGCGCCCGAGGCATGCGAGTAGCGTGCCTCGGGGCAGCGCACGGTGGCGATGTACGTGAAGGTGGGCGCGATAGGTGCGACTCCGCGCGTGTGTTTTGGTGGCTGTGGAGGCGGCCAGGCAAGAAGAGGCGGTGTTGGTCACAGTGCTGGTGCTGTACACAGCTGCGGGGGGTGCATACTTACAGCGGAGTGGATCCTGCAGGTTCCCGGACAGCATATCAGTTCTTTGGTGTTGCATCTTTGGATACCAAAGCTAGAAGAGCCCTGCGGAGACAAGGACAGCGGTGGCGGCAATACTTGAGTAGGTAGCCAGTAGCGCGAGCGAAAGGTGTTACCAGTACCCGAGGACTAATGATAGCGACCGCAAGGAAGAACATGATGGCGAGATGTATAAGGCAAATGGTACCCATGCAGGTAGGATAAACAGCATGAATGCAACACAGAAAACAGAGCCAGGATGGCGGCATAGGCATGGTGCAGAGCGGGTGAGCCTGTAGCAGCGAAAGTGTCGGAGTGTGAAAGTGAAGTGAATGCGAACTGAGCGCCTTTCAACTGGTAGACGCCAAGTGAGCAAAGTGAATTGTAATGCGCGCTTCAAGTAACTTGATATCTCCTCATATGCCGGTGGTGCTCAAAAGACAGCGTTGTAGAGGCTCTGGCTGCATGCCCGGTGTTGTTGTTGTTGTTGTTGTTGTTGTTGTTGTTGTTGTTGTTGTTGTTGTTGTTGTTGTTGTTGTTGTCAGAGATGGTGTAGTGCGTGACACGCTTGGTTTGTCGCGCGCGCTTCATGAAGACGACCAGGCAGGAGAGCCAGCGGGGAGGCATGATGAGCAGAGGTTGATTAAAGGCGGGGTCTGGTGATGGCAGAAGCAAAATGAGCCCACTCATTCAGCTTATACTGCATGAGTGTAACGACCCAGTATGAGGTCGTTACGGGTACCGTACATCCACTGGCCCAGCGCCGTAAGCGCTGGGCAAAGATAAGATAACACTGTACTAGATAGACGCGTACAGCGTGCGGGCAGCCTCTCTAAATTGCCCCACCATCCTACAAGTATGCTGAGCCTCAATAGAGCCCGGAGCAGAGTACTTGCAGGACAGGGGTGACGGATTGCGCCCCCCCCATACGTGAGTTTTACAACGAGCAGTCATGGCAACTCTTATGACTTACAATGAGGGCAGAAGCATCAGACCGAACAACAATGACACACAGTATGGCGGTCTCGACCATGATCCACTTGTTGGACTGTGTGGCATAGTCCACTAGGACAGGGGATTGCCTTATTTCAGACCCCATGCACACGAACCGGCCGCTTGGAGCGACAGGAGATATTGTTGATGCTGATGATGATGCTTGTTGAGCCGGCGACAAGGACCGGGTTCGATTGTGCATTTGTTCGAGGTGTGGATGAATGTCCTGGAGACCAAGGACATACGCTATGGGACGGGGTTTTGAGGGATACGGGGGCGCGAGGCGTCGAGACAAGCATGGCGCACATACGCAATATCCCTGTCAACGCGGACTTTGGTGTTTGACACCCTGGTATGGAGGGCATACACTTACCGGTTTCGTGCACCCTTGGATACTGTCCACAGCCAGCCGTGTACGGAGCGGAGGCAGCTGAGCATAGTATGCCATGTTGCAGCTAATCGTGACCGAGCATTGAGGGTGATTTCCACAGGTGTCTTGTATGAAAGCCTGATGAGTACGTACCACGGCGGGCTCAGAAGAGGTGGCCACAGAGTGGGCCCGAATGTCGGAAAGTGACAGGTGAGCGAGTGGAAGGCAGGAGGACAACGAGGGTAAAGAAATCGCTAAAACAAGATGGGACTAGGCGCCAATTTGATTCCTGCCAATTGCCCAATCAGCAGTCCGATATCGCTGCAGATGTCTGGCACACAGCAGCAAGAGCATGCAAGGAGATGATTTGGGTTGCTTGGGGAGAACCGCACGGAGGACATGCTATTGAAGGGCGGAGACGCAAGTTTGATCTGGTCTGCTGCACAAACCTGTGAGCTATATTGTAGCAGGAGTTAGATACAGGGAGCCGTACCAGACATGATGGAAACACAGAATCCTAGAGCGCAGTACTTTCAGGGGATGCGGATGTGATTGAGTGCAAGAATGAAGCAGAAGGGAGCAGAGTGTGGAAGCAGAACACCCGAAAACTGGAATAGCCGAGACTGTTGAGGATGAGCGCTCAATGCAGTGAGCACCACTCGGCTGTTTTCCGCTATTTGTACGTGTTAGGATCAGAAGCTTTTGCCAAACAACCACTTTTGAAGAGCAACTCAGATATCGCCTGCCACGACCCCGATTCTTCAGTTCTATCCGCTGAGGAAGGCCTCACTATATGAATACACCCAAATTACAAACCAACATAGGATTGAGTGTCATACATGGACATACATCATGATTCAACCGGTAGCCCGCGAGTATTTGTACATCTGTTTTATCTTGTAAATATAAGACTGATACAACATTGGCCATAAGAAAAGTCCTGATAAGCGATATTAACTAAGAAGGGTACGTATTATATGCAGATTCCGTCATAGTTGGGTTGTGATATGAACGAAGACACTGACCAGCAGTGCACTCTGTGGTTTGCATGAAGTCATAGATCATGATGCGTGCCCAAGCTCGATGACAAAGGTTTCTTCAGGCCTGCGCCCGGAGGACAGTTCGTGCCTAGTGGCTGGGTGAATGCCTCCGAGGCATTTTGCGGGGGTGTCTTATAGGTCTTGGTCTGATTCTAGTGTCTGAACACTGTCTTATCACTGTCTGTGTCTTAAATCCCTGTCTGGGTCTGACAACTACTGGTCTGAAGTGTCAAGACAGTGTTCTTACAAAGAAGAAAGACATGACTTTTTTGCTACAAATATGTGAAGACCAGCTTTATATCAATGATATTACTTGTATCAACTTGAAATAGTAGTCATCATTACAGAGGCAATTAAGTGTCTAATAATCATCCATATGTCATCTGAACCTTTCACTACTAGTAGCACTAAGTACAACCTGGAAGTAACCCTAAGGGGTGAGATGGTAGACATATTTACCCAGTGATGCTCTACCTGTATAGGCTTCTGGTGTAGTGGTCTACATCACCTCAGATTGTAGTACATGGAATCATGAGGTTGCAGGTTCAATTTCTGCACAGGGCAATTACCCAAACTGCGCTCACCCCTGATAGGAGGCCTCTTGTGAGGCTCTCCTCCTGTGGTAGTAGCTGTTTTGGCTACTGGCACCATTCTTTATCACTGATCCAAGTGGTCTTGCACCAGACACTTTTGTCTTGCCTGGGGTCTGGGCCCAGACATTCCCATCTTATATCAGATCATTAAGACCCAAGTGTCTGATTCCAGAACTGCCACATGGCTGACACAAGATCAATGGTCTTGGTCTGGTATAGTGCCTGAAGTGTCTGAAGTGTCTCGGCCAAGACACTCAAGACACTTGCGCATAATGCTGATGGCCGCCCGCCCGCCTGGCTTCTGGCACTTTTTTTTATTACTGACCCCAGTGGTCTTGCACCAGACACTTTTTGTCTTGTCTGGGGTTTGGCACCAAGCTTTTTTTGTCTTATTTCAGGTGGACTAAGAGACATCGCGCGCACACCCCGAACCGCTGTCGACGCTCTCGCACACGACCCCGCAACTATTGGATGCGGCAGGAACCCACACCTCGAGGAGAAAAACACATACGGAATTCGATTGTATAGTACGATTACGCAAATTACGACTGTAGACCGACATCAATGAGACCTAACTCCACAGCCCCCTCCTCCTCGCCCTCCCTACTCCTCCTCTTCCTCCTCCTCGTTGCTTGAAAGTCACTGCGTAAAACCTCCTTCTAGTACAGTTGGGGCGTGATCACTGATTGCGCTGCAAAGGCCAGTCAATACTAGTGATTAGTGAGCTAGGTGTGGTAGTGTGAATTTACCTGAGGGTGCGCAGCATTACCGGGTATCAGGTAGTTTCAGGACATAGCTGGACCGCCTAGCAATGCAGTTGCACGATCTATGGAGAGACCAGGTAGCTCAGAACACACCTAGTCAGGATGATATCATATAGTAAAGCTGCAGCAACATTGCACGAGGCAGTGCCCCACACGCGCTGCGACTCTGCACTAGGTAGCCCAGTCGCGCTGTGAACGAGAGACCACTAGAGCCCTCCGCGGGCGGACACATTAGGAAAGAGCCCTGATCACTCTAGGCCTGTTCCTAGCTAGAAGTCGACGTTTCTGGACCAGATGCTTATAGACACAAATAGTTTATTTTCACTACTACACATACACCTCGGTACTGCCCTAAAACTTGGCTATTCTAGGCCAATGACCCACCCTGCCAGTGCGCGACGCGGCACGGCGCATTCACCACCCTCCAATGACCAGGAGTCACTGCCCTTCGCTTAACCGGCAAGGCTCTTGGCTGCCGCCTTGTGTTGAGAGCTTGTGAACACAGAACCGGTACTGGACGTGAACGCTAGTTAAGGATGCGAGGATGGAATTGAGCTTACCGGTGCAGCTTAGAGAACGTGTACCATACTGAGGCCGCTAGATGCGGCGCCGCCGTGAGGTTATCCAGATCCCCAGCCATGATGTTTTGTGTTTTAGATATTAGCCTGAAATGTGCAATCAGTCATGAAACACACTTCGGCACCTGCACCAAAGACGAGCCCAGAAGGGCTGGATACGAACATCAGCCTGAAAGGCAATTCTCAACGTTCAGTGTGGGGCGAGTATAGTTCAGCCGGCACAGGCCATATCACCATACCTTGAACACCCGGACGAAGCTGAGGATCCGCCACCATGGGGAATATGTTGCACTGTTAGCTGCTGTACAGAAAGAGGACGGACTCACCATAGACACATATAGGCTGATATCTGTCTCCGCGCGAGCCCACACATCCTTCCGTGTCAGATCGCGCCGTTTGTACCAGCGGAAAAGGACCAAGTCAGCTAGACGCTCGGCGTACTCGCACATGAGAGAAGTATACCGTCTAGGGAACTGTTCGTGAAAGCGTGGAAGTTGGTTGATCAACAGACTTCCGAGAGGGGTGAAGGACGAGCACAGTGGGATGGGGCGGCATATGTGATCGTAGTTGTGCAGGAGTGTCTGTGAGATTTTGAGGGCTTTTTAACGACGCGGTTGCCCTCAGATATAGACCACTACGTGGCTTAGACAACCGAGACGAGACCAAGCGGCAGCCAGACGCATTGTGTAGTTCCAAGGTAGCACGAGCCGCGCCCGTGGCGTACGAACACCAGTTCGTACGAGGCCACCTGGCACCCCGGACACCATAAACCGCTAGTCCGTCTCGCGCGGTGTAGCTCCAACTCTGACTGCACTACGTAGGGCTTACCGTGCCTACTTACAGCTACTTGATCTCTCAAAGGTTCGTGTTAGGCGGCTACCCATTCTCTTCTATTCTCTTCCTCACCAGCACTCACTCGTCCGTGGTGGACGACATTGGCAGTTTACGCAGTGAGTGAGGCCGGCTGTAGCGGCGTAACGCGTAGATACTGCGCTCCTCTTTACGTAGTCAGGAGATTCAAAGGGCATGGGCCGAGCGCGAGTCCATCGAAGAGTCGGAATAGGACCTGTTGCTCATCGGCGGAGTCCATACCGAGTGAGATCCCATCGACGTTGTTCGGACCTGAGAATCAATATGAAGTCAGTGACATATTCTGCTCATGTCATACAAATTGGGGGTCACCTGGTTGCTCCGCGTCGCAGGCGAAGACGACGATGGTCCGCTTTTGGAGCATCTCAGCGAACGCGAGATACTCCATCGCATACTCACCGCCGTTCGAGCGATGAGTGACCATTTGGTCGTACAGACGGCTTACCGCGCCGAGGAAGACGGTGGGGTTGAACCTCTTGCCGTCTTCAAACATTCCAAAGGGCTGCGGCCACGGTGGGAGCTCCTCCGTGATCGTAATGGTTTGGCTGTCTGGCGTTTTCTGGGTGACTTGAGGGTTCATGCGTACACCGTCGGAGCAGAAGGAACGTTTATGGTTCTGTGCCGCACCACGCGGACCAGGCCACATGATGAACTTGCAGCGCGAGCACGTATTGAGCTTGCGCTATGTGACCAATACACTCTGTTAGAGACGCACGTCCAAAGATGTGCGACATGGCTTACCTTGCGCATGTCATCGCTGCCACCTTTGAACAGCGGCACTGCATGGCAGTGCTTCTTCCAGAAGTCCTCTGAGCGAGACTCCTTCGCTGTGACAGAAGCATTAGATAATGCGCTGACATGCACAAACATGAAAATCGATAACTTACACTTGTAGTCACCAGCGGACAGGCGGCGCAGAACCATTGATTCTATCTCCCCTAGCTTATCCATCAGAGCACGCGGTGTCTTCTTTACTGTCCAACCGTAGTACCCGAGGCGGTGTTTGGTCTTCTCGAGCTCCGTATTGTAGATTTCAGCCGCCTCGACCCACTTCCGCGGCGTCATGCTATGGGACGCCCACTGATGCTCTGCCCGGAGGTTCATGAACAAGAAGAACTCGTCCCCCCCGGGGATGACCATCGAAAGCGGATTGAGACCCGTTGAGATGGAGAAGACTTGCTGCGAAGGGGTGAGGCCCGTGATCTCGACCTTCAGTAACGCGTAAGTGGAGCTGGTCAGGGTACCCTGTTTCGAGTCTGCTGGAGTGTGCTGGGCCGCGAAGAAGCCCTTGATAGTTCCGTCGCGACGTGTGAGGGTGGTGGATCCAGGCATGCCAGGCGCTGTCATTCCCGCGGCAAATTTTGAGGCCGACGCGGCAGGGAGCGGCGTAGCAGGGGGGGCAGCCGACGTGGATACCGCAATTTTTATGGCGTGTGAGTGAGCCCGGGTGGATGTTGCAGTGACTGTCGCGATAGGTGGCGAGACGGTGACAGCAGACTTGGAGGCGACGGCAGCGCCACGCGCGGGAATTAGACTCGCATGAGTGCTGGACAAAGAGGTGATAGGGGGAGGGGGTGTTCCTGCGGGAATTGTAGCGGTCGTCGCTGTGATTGTCGCAGCAGAGGACTTGACCGTTGCAGCTATCACGGACGCTGCAGGCCCCGTCGATATCGCTGCAGACGTCGTGATTGTTGCCGTTGCTACAGTGCTCGACACGGCGGCGGGAGTAGGCTGTGCGGTGGCGGGAGTAGGCGACGCGGCGGCGGCAGGAACCGTGGACGACACGGCAGTAGCGGGAGTGAACGACACAGCGGCAACGGGAGTGGACAACACGGCAGCGGCGGGAGTAGGCGACACGGCAGCGGCGGGAGTAGGCGACACGGCGCCGATGACACCGACATCGCACTGCTGCATAGTCAGTCAGCACTGTGTGCTTGGGGACGGTGAACCACATACCTGCATAGGCTTACAAGTAATGTCGCATCCCGGTTCGCGAGATTCAAAGCGCGCATGCACAGCGGTCTTCGCCTTCTTCGTATTGCAAGGCCGCTGGACTTCCCGAAGAGCGGAGTCTTCACTATCTGAATGCGTGCGTTTGAGACGCAAACCCGCCTGTGAGATCTGATGTGCAGAGGGGGCGGCCTCTTGGATGTCTGATAGATCTACGATGCGTATAAGCTTGTGTCCAGAAATCGTGCGCATGAGTAATACTGACCTGCAAGAATGGAAGCCGGTGCGGAACCCGACACACTCTCCGCCACGACCTCGCTGTTCCAAGCCGTGTCTTCCACTCCTCCTTCTGCAGTATTCGCGCGAGGCGACATATCCTACATGCCAATAGGTCAAAGCATACACAAATAATGGTCGCGAGAGTGTGACGTACCGAGACCTTCCCCTTGCCCAGTGTATGACGCACACTCGGGAACGTAGAAGCAGAACCGTCGATTGGGGCGAGAGACGAGACAAGAGGCTGCGATAAGAGGGCAGGGTCAATATTCATGCTCCTTAGGGGCTGTTGTGCTACATCGGCGGGCTGAGCAGACAGATCCAGAAGGTTGTCGGGCTCCTCCTCCTTGACATCCACCAGGTACTGATAGCCCTCTACAAACTGCGAGCGGACAATACCAAATGACTCTCCACTGTCCACCGTCCGAAAACGCGGTGTATCTTGAAGGCCGATGAAGAGATGTGCATGTGTGGTGTTCTGCCGGATGGTGTTCCAGAGGTATGCGATGCGGTCGACCAGGCGGATGTGGTGGGAACCGTACGTCGATAGCGCGAACGCGGTGGGCGAGCCCGAGTCGAGATCAACGCGATGATTGCGGCGAAGGACGAGGTCGTGGGAGAGGACGGTGAGCATTTCAAGACCACTCGCGAACGAGCGTTGAAGGCTATTCCATGCTTTATGTGTTCCTTCGACGCGGCTGCCGTCCGATCGAACATCGCTTCGCGGACGCGTTAAGCAGCCTTTCTTCACGTGTTTCATTTGTTCCTTGTGCGTCTGGGAACGTACGTGTCAACGACGGAATGGTGCCCTCGGAGAGCCGCAGTAAGCACTCACCTTGGCAGCCGCGAGGTTCCAAACCCCACGCGCGGCCCACTTCTGGAAGGCCTCCTCTAGCTGTCTTTCCTGCTCTTCGCGCGACCAATACACGCCGGGGTTGTGTGCGCTGGCTCGGGTCTTCAAGATCGCACTGACGATGTCCTCCGCTATGTGAGGGCGCGAGTGCCACTGGCACGTTTCCGGCACCGCCAATAATGCACACATTGTACCTGGCAGGGTGGGAAGTGAGATCTCAAACAAAACCTCAACATAGAGTACTTACCGCATAAGCATGTGCCATACATCGAGGCCAACATGTGTGTTGGGGAATGCGTTCTTGATCGCTTTCCGGACATGGCAGCAGTTATCGGCCACAACGATGTCTGGCTCTGGAGATCCAAGCAGAGAAAACCGTTTCTTTAGGCCTTTGAGGAGCTCTTCGATCTCGGCATTAGCTTGGGTTTGACAAAATTGCTGCGAGGGTACGTGGTGGTCCAGGACATCGGGAACCGGTCAGCCAGCGCCCTACGCTCCGTTTTAGGCGCCTGCGAAGCACTCACCCACGCGAGCGTCTGACCACGCTCGTTCAAGGCGTTCAAGATTCCTCCTCCCCACGGCTTCTCATACTGACGCGCTGAATTCACCATCTTTGCCTTTCCCGCTGCACGGAAGGTCTGGTCGATAGATATTGTCGCCGCTGTCGAACCATCAATAACCGTTACAAGCTGCCTTTTACGACAGTATCCCATTCGAAGAGCTCGCAGACGTACCAGTGAGTGTGCGTAAATGTTCGTTTGACTCCTCCACGCGTGTTCCCTGACTAAACTTCAAGTAGATGTCCGTAATCATGTCGTCCGTAATAGAGGTGTCGTTGTAGCCGCCGATGTCGTCAGGCTTGGAGAAGGAGCGGAGCGGGGTGTTCAAGGTGGGGAATAAGGCACATGTGCTTCGTGCAAGTCGCTTCTCGTAGTTGGAAAGATATGCTAACTTTTCTTGGCGGTGCCGATAGAGGTGCAATTCTGTGATCTTACCGTGAGCTACCAGTCCTCAAGGACCGGCAGGCTTTCGAGTGGTACTCACGTCTTATATTCTCAGCTAGACCCGCCAATGTCACCTGCAAGCGAAACTCCGCGATGAGATTGAATAGGTCTCGTGTCAATGCACAGTGCTTCATGAAGAACGGAATGCCCGCTGCATTGCAAGAGGTATAATGTTAGGTTGCGTGGTCTTTACCCCAGCGGATGGAAAGACACTTACCAGGGATCTGCCAGTGTTCGCGATGTTCCCAGAACGTGTGGTTTGTGGCTGTGAAGCAGTGAGTGCCTTCGCCATTCTTGCTTGGTTTCTTCTGATTTGACGGTGCCCCAGAACAGCGCAAGCAGCGCAACTGATACCCCAATGCGGTCTCCTCACGATCCACGCCATGCACCTCGCAATGCCCGGTCGACGTCCACCCTCCCCACGATACATCTTCTCCAGTAGCATCGCACCATGGACACCGCGCGAGGTCGTCGAAGTAGAAAGGGTGGATGATGGTAAGTGCTTTAAGGTACGATGTTTCTGGGTTGATGTCGGGCATCGAATGACGACGTTGGGCATGCAGGTATCCGGGAGGCAGAAAGCGAGGGCCTAGGAGTGGCACCTCGGCTCTCAGGGGCCCCAGCCCAGTGTTCGACTTTGTCATGTTGTATACCCAAACAACGTACTCGACGACGTGGACGGCCCATTCAAGCTGGGGGACATACTGCGATTGTGCAGGGCGACGCTCTTGCCATGCCTTCCAACGCTTCTCGACCTGAGGGAGGGCGGCCTTCAGCTCTCCAGGGCACCAGTGTCATATAGCCTCCTGTACGTACATTGTCGCACCATTTCCTCTCATATTCCTTTTTCTGATCCTTCGTGCCGCCGTGTAGAAGCTTCGCCAGAGCGATGATGTACTCGGGCTCGAAATTAGACATGGTGGAGGGTGGGTGAGAGATAGAGGGGCTGCCTCCGAACGCCTTGTAACTCCCGTTTCGTGCTTAGAAAGGAAATGCGTCTGGGCTCCCTCGCGAGCCGATGTTTCATGACAGACTCACGCTTGCGCGTAAGGTGCTGCAGGAACTGCGCTTCGACTCGGACATCAAAATGGCCGCGGGCGCCGCTGAAGTACAATACATAGCCTAAAATACAAACATCGATAACCGAGGGGAAAACACCGTAACACGACTGCTCCAAACCATCCAGTAACATTACATAGAAAATCCAGTAGCCAACGGGGTAGAGCGGACGAGTGAGAGGACGGAGAAGCAATCAGAGAGTGTCTAAGGTTACTAGCTCTGCATACAGATAATTCTCGCCGCCCTCGCGGTAGTATTCCAAAGTAAACGTCGCGCGAAGCGGTTTGTTGAAAGGTACCTCGTTTATCGTCTGCGGGACGATTCTGGAGTTCGCACTTGTGTCGAAGAAGGGCAGAGTGTCCTTCAGCTGCAATATGCTGCTCAGCATTCAAGTGTTCAGGGCCGCTGGGTGTTCTGACTCACCTCTCCTTCATAGGGGACAAATCTAACACGGAGCTGCACCGCGCCGTCATTGGGGGCGAAGCGGAGGAGACGCGAGGTGTTCAGATCGCCGGCAACAGCGGTTGAAGCGATGCACTGGATAGCCGGCGGGAGCTGGCGCCATTCGACGCAGGAGTCGCGGTCCGGACGCGACTCCAACAAGCAGGATGCGAGAGGCCTTTTGTGTGCGGTGGTGTCCGGACGGTCTTCGCGTTGATCCCCCACCGCCGTCAGGAAGCATTCCTCCGGAGCAACTTGGCCAATGACCGTGAACACGACGGGGAGTGTGTCCATTTCGGAATCGTCGTCGGGAATGAGCTCCGGGGGCACAAGGGGGATGCAGCATATAAAATGGTCGTCAGAGTCCACGGTGGGCGCGAAGAAAAACTTGAAGGCGTGCAAGTTGTTCGGGTCGCTGCAGACCGCGCGCTGTAGAGGCCAGGTGCCTCTCTGATGAAGCGAGTTGAGCGGGTTATGGAGGGCGTCGCGCGTGTAGTGCCTGAGACTCATACTGTAGCTCGCGAGGGGGGTTGGTGAAGAACTTGAGGAACCCGTCGCGCAGACCGCCTGATTATATGTCTACCGCGGCACCTGAACGAGTGTGCACTGTAACCAGTACGTCATTGCATTAGCGGGAAGCCAAAACAAGACGTTCAAATATGGCTACCTCCCGTAAGAATCCGCAACCCAAGCCAAAACGTGGCAGGGGGTACCCCCTAGACAGCGCGAGTGTGTACTTTGGTGTACCGTTCTTTCTACGTCGGCAAAACAGCGGTGTCCAAGAAGCGCTGTAATTTCCTGAAAGGGTAAGTAGGTTTGCGCATGTCAGTAGGTTCGCGCGTGGTCGCTGGCGTGTAATGTGGCAATACTGGCCCTCCGGGACGTTCAGGATGGCTCGGCTTTGTATTTAGGAGGCGTGGAGAACATGAAATGGAGAGCAGTAGGCGCTCAAGTCGTGCCACAGCAGCCAACCCTAGCCTGGGTGCCGCTTTCGGAACCCCTCCGGGACGTCCTGGGCCGTCGGGCCGCCCGCCTTCGGCGGGCCAAATCCTTGGTATGACTAATTTGCCTAAGCGGCCCTCCCGCGGCGCTTGTGCGGCGCCTCGTGCTGCGCTCATCCATGTGAAGGGTGAAGAGTATCAGCGCGCGGTGAAGTCACGCGTTCGATCTGCCGCAGTCCGAGATGCCCGGAGACGGCTTGCCCTCTCGCTCTCTCTGCGTCCTTTGCTTTTGTTCGCCGCGCGCTCTCTGCCCGCTGCAGCCGCGTCGCGTCCACCCTGGATGCACCATGTGCACCGTCTTTCTTACTCGATGGCCGTGGTTGCTGGCACAGAAACTAGTCGCCTCAACTCGCTCTTGTAACAATCTGCACGCCGTCCACGTTCGTCTCTCACTACCGCGACCGCTCAAGCATCCCCCCGTCCCCTTCAACGCCACAGTCTCTCGTCTCACATCCGACCGAGCCGCGTAGCTCGTCTGCTCGTCTGCACCGCTCCCCGCGCTCTCCTTGCAGCCCTTGTCGACGACTTGGACTATTCTAGGGCTGCTACTCCGCCCCACCACGCATACATGCACTCCGCTCGCTGCTCTCCCTCTCGCTCGATGACTCTGGCTGCATCTCCGCCCTCGCCTCCGCCCTCTCCCACCACCGGGCGCTCTCCCGCTCGTATAGGCGCCCACTCTCGCTCCCTTGGGCAGCTCCTCTACCGGTACGTCTGTGCCTTTGCTACTAATACAACATATGATACTGACATCCGCTCGAGCACAGATTTGCATTTTGAAGGCGCGAAGCGCCCGCACACAGTGCCAGCCGCGTCGACGCGTCCGCGGCGCCCACTCGCGGGAAGCAGAACGCGCGTACTAACCCGGTACGAAACGTCGCGAAATAGAACGAGACCCACCGTGTTTGTAGGATCGGCGAAGGAGCCAAAACGATCCGGCCAGCGGTTCAAAAAAGCGCAGACAGCGACCGTCGACGCGCCCTCACTGTACACACGGCCGTCGCGACCAACGACGCATATCCCCCACTCCCAACGCACCCCTGGAAGTCCCCAAGTCGTCGTACACGACGTCCAGGCGTACCTAGCCGCTGGCTCGCAGAAGTGGCCCCAGTACGCCTTCCCCTCCCCCTCGGAGCTCTGTACGCCCGCTAACTCGCACCTTGTTCGTTCAGCGACAGCTTACATCATTACAAACGGTCCCTAAGACAACTTAAAGACGTGCTACAAGAGCTACAAGCCGCGACGTCGCGCGCAATCTCTTTCGCGCACTGCGACGTCCAAGGGCGCCTATCTGCCGTCTTCCCTCCTCCATCCTCCCGCCGGCCTCCCTCGACCCCGGCTGCCCGAATTGCGGCGCGAATTGCATGACCGACCTGAAGAAAGGTCAGTTCGCGCACTCATTTGCACGTTTGAAAGTGCTCACCGCCAGAATCCACACGGCCCACACCCCAGCCGGCCGCGATCACCTCCAATCGGCGTAAGACCTTCGACGATCGACCAGACGAGCCGTATCAGGTCGAGTTAGTAATCTTATTGATGCAGGGAGATGTGCTGACTCACCAGTGCTCAGACGTTCGCGCTGTAGGGCGCATACGCGTGCTCCTGACGCCACGGACATCAATTAACGTCTCCGGCGGCACAGGCCCTCCGACGGCGCGAACGAGCAGCTACATGCGATTACGATAGGACAGGCCCTGCTTCTATCACTCCCGCTGCGCGTCTCAACCCTCGCCCGCTCCCTCAAGACGACCTGGCCGGGGCTGGACCTCACGGCGCGAACCTACGATCCTGGCCAGTCAGTGCAACACTCGCCTCGAAACGAGCTGATCTCGACGACTGCGAACTCGTCGACACGTCCCCAGCCGACTGCACTCGCCTGCACATGCGGAACAGTCAGCGGTGAGGCTTACGCGGCGAGCATGGATCCAGTACGCACCGCGAGCCAAGCCTCGTGTCTCCGCGAATCCCGACGCTCTGACAGCGGTAAGAACTCGTCAGCCGTGCACCGGAGTGTCGCACGCGGGCTCACCAAAGCCGGGGCCGTGTCGCGTACGGCGTCGACAGCGCAGAATAGGCGGCAGGCACTAGCAAGCTGGAGTTAGACGATGCGGAGCGGAAATGGCTGGGGACGACGTACACGAGAGACGGCCGGACGAGATGAGTGCGGGGCACACGCGCTCGCCGCCGCACAGTGCTTACACACCAGCAGCATGCAGGATGTGCGATGTGCGAAGCGAGGGTGGAGGGCGAGTAGAGGGTGTCGTGCCGCTCGACGAGGACGTGCGCCCAGTTTATATACGACCCCGCACGGACCACGTTCGGCACGCACAAGGCGCCCTTGCCCTCGCTGAGCCCGCCCCACATGGACCCCCGAGCCGGAGACTTTGGCGCGAACTGGCTGTCTTGTGCGTGTAGTGCTGCTCGCAGCACCGTCCGGCGTCCCGCCGTCTACCCTGCCCAGCCAGAGTATCTCAGCAGAATCCTGCCCGCCGCTGTAGACAGCGCCTGTGCTGCGAAATGAGTCCTGCTGAGGCTTTCCCCGCCCCTTCCGACCCTTCCGACCCTGAACGACCGCGGGCTCACTCGAAACACCTCGGGCCGCATACGAGCTCGATCTCTAGAGCGGCAGCCGCGACGCGAGGCTGTTTGACGGGCTCACGCACCCCGCGATGTTGCATGCGGATGGCATTGCAACACCGCGAACCCGCCGCGGCGAGCATCAACCTGCAAATGAGCGCGACTTGGACATCTAGGCACGAGCTAATCATCCTGGGCCCACATTCCTGCCTTCGCCGCGCTCGCACGCCGTCCCACTGCCTGTCGAGATTACAAACAGTCTTACGAGCTCCTGGCTCGCTCGACAACCACTGCCCTATGTTTAGTCAACCGAATCTTGTACATACGCTCGCTGCGCCGTCTGCCCGACGCTTCCGGATGGTTCTCGAAATACAACAGCCTACATGCTCCGTTCACGACACGGTCCTGCTCGGGTGTCCCGACAATGGACATTGCGATCTCCGCCTGCCTTGGCTGCGCTTTGCGAGATGTTTCGTCTGTCGCACCGTCCGCTCATTTCGCCATCGGTGATGTTCTGATCAATTGCGGTATGTATTGGGCAGTGTAGCAGTGAGTTCGCCGTGTGTGCTCAGAGATCTTGCAAGTAGATTAGCTGTACGGTAGTCCTTTGTGTTCGAGCAGGCTCAGTCAACACTGTGTGTATGCCTGGGATGTTGATACTGGGAACACAATATCACCGAATTCGAGTCGCGCAGCTTGCGTGAACGGACGCTGATCGAGCGGGTACATTGTAAGCTGCAAACATGATCATGTCTTGACTAATGCAACAAGGGACTCGTCAGGAATACCTTCCCCCAAAAATTACGCCGAAAGATATAGAAAACCGCGTAAAATGACCAGTTTCGTGTATCTTAGACATTTCAGTGATCTCCTCGTAAATCAGCTCGTTTGGAGGTCCCCCCACTGTAAAGCGGCGTATTTCGTGCATATCGACATAATACACTGTTGTCTGAACTGGCGTGATCTTGCACATCCCATTGTTTTACGCATATTTCCTTGTAATGGCCATTTTCTATGGGTCTAATTTCTCGCGCTTTCACACGAAATATGCGGCTTTACAACTCATATTGCTGCACATAGGGCAGACGGTTTTACGGTAACAAGCAGTAGGCAAGCGATGGTGGCGACTCGGAGGCGAGAGACTAAGTATGTATGATAAAGGGCGAACAGTATTATGCTAACCTACTAGCGAAGAGCGTCACAGGTACGGCCGGAGGAGAGCAAGGCATGCGCAGCCACGAGAGTGACATGGACACAGAAATGGAGGTGGCGCGGAGAGGGTAGGTACTAAGGGGGCGCAGGAAGGGGATTCACAGCAGTGCACAGAGTAGCGAAGGAAGAGGCGGCGGCGCAGCCCCAAGTGTAAAAAGGTAACGTCTGCCATACAAGATCGTGCCCCGGTGACGAGATGAGTCGGATATACGGCGGCATGAAGCAGGACGCCACAGTAACGCGAACACGGCGAAGAGCCTGAGCGGTGGAGAGTGGTGGATAGTAGCGAGTGTGGGGAGTAGCGCGGAGGTGACGCAGCGACGGGAACAGTATATGCATGGCGGAAGACGTGGCGGTGGGCACAGCGAAGGACCTGCGAGCGACGCGAATAGGACCTGCGAGCGACGTGGATGTGTGGCAGCACTGAGCCTAGGACACACCGTGGGCACACCGGTGGCAACGAGTGTAGCAATCTGTCGCCGGGGCCTTGCAAAGCGATGCGAACGGTTGCGCTGACACCCGGCGGTATGTACTATGAAGCTGTCTGTGTAGAAGCCGATTCAGCGAGAGGCTCAGCGGCGTAGATAGAAATGACGCACGGCATTGGCGGGAGCGAAATATAGACAGGAATATAGGGTATACTACCGACGGAGCCTTCAGCGTGACTTGATGATCATGCGTTGGCAGCAGCTGCGATGTTGGCCCAATCGACGTTGGCGAGGATGGCATTGTGTGCGACACCATGGGGCTGCTGCTGGTTCAACACAGCGTTCCCGCCCCTGCGTACAAAGCATTAGCCAAAGAGGGCCAACCGCAGAGCAATGAGGCACTCACGATGCTGTCATACAAATCTCATGCATGAGCGCATGATACGTCCCTAATGCGGTGATGCGTAAGTTGGCGAGGATAATCATGTTAGATTTGTATGCATTGTGCAGGGTCGTTACAGAAAAACTCGCTAATGCGATCGCCGTCGGCCGTCGCAGGGTTGATATGGTCGATTAGGACTGAATGGATCTGCAGTACAGATGAGGATACGTAGCAGCACACTCGGGGTGATGTACGCACCGCATTAACTGCCAGGGCTAGCATCGCATCCGGAATCTCGAGCTCATGAGGTGCAGTAGGCAAGGACGAGGTGAACGTGCCAAGATTTTGAGTACCAATCTTGAACGGCTGTGATTCACCAAAAAAGAGAGCCCGCAGTACGTCTGGAATCCCGGGCCCACTGAACGGCCGCGTGTACAGGAACTCGTTCTGCGCAAGCAAATCAGTGATATGTCCTTATACGAAAAGGTTTTGCGGCGTACGTTGGGCAAGAATGGATACAGGAAATTGCTGCTTTCCAGCAACTTGGGCAACGTCGCTTTGGGCATGTTAGACAAGTGGACCGCCGACGGGTATGCACTAGAGGCAGCCTTCTTGATCTCTCCACAGTAGAGGCGCAGGCGAGCCGCCGTCTGTAAGTGTCAGAGATTTAGTCAGGATAGATGATCTCGCGAAAACGTGAGGGTAAGTTGCTCACGTAGCTCCGGAGTGGCGCAACGTAGTGGCGTTCCGATCCGGCCTCAAGACGATGAGCTATGTCGTTTTCCCAAACATATCCAAGGTCTTCTGCTGCCCCTATGAGAGCACCTAGCGAGATCTGATCGATACCTTGCGATCCCAATGGCGTCACCATCGCATCAGTCTCCTCCAGGTCACCGGGGTCAGTGATACAGATGCCGTCGCCCATGGCAATGTGTGTCATGCCGTGCTCGAAGCTGGCCTTCAAGACTTGCTTGACCTCTTTCCGGCATTTATTGAGACGCACATTCCAAGTATTCTTCGACACGTGCTTGAGTGCACGAGATATGTCGGTGCGTGCCATCCAAGGCGTAGAGTCAGAGTCGGAGTCGGAGTTGGAGTCGGTTTCGGACCCTTCCGCATCCGATCCGCCCTGTGCCACTTGCTTGGGCTTCTTGTGCATCTTAGTGGCAGAGACGACGGGCATCTGTCCAAGAATTAGTACAGCGTAGAGGTGTATCAATCCTGAGCACATCTATTCTTCTTCTTCAAGCTTCTGCTCCCGCCGGCTCTTCTTTACCGTGACCTATCATCATGGTGTACTAGGTCGTCAATATCCGACCCTGATCTCATAGCGTACGACACATACCACAGCCTCCTCGCCGCCTGGTGCAGCGGTGCGGATCACGGCAGCTAGAGGAGCAGAAGCAATGGCGCGACCTGAGGTATCAATATATTGGGGAATGGATTTGAGTCATGTTGAAGCCACGTTACCTGACTCAGAGACAGGCACAAGCTCGCCAAACGAGACGGCCTAGAATGCCACGTTAGATCACGACGATTCAGTGGGTACTGCTTATGCGCACCTCAGCGGCGAGATCATCAAGCCGCCCTTCATCTTGTGGCTCCGGAACCTCGCCGTCGTCCTGCTCTTCTTCTTGCTCTTCTTCTTCAGCCCCTTCGTTATCCTCCCCATCCTCGTTGACCAGCTGCTCCCGATCCATGGCAGTCTTCAAGATGGGCTCGTCTTTAGAAGACGGTTCGTCGACATTGATGCGCTTGAGGGCGCCCCTTCGCTCTGGACCTGTACAGATTATCACATAAGATACACCAGATATAATAATGTAACACTAAGACAGGATGGACTTGCCTTTCGATGGCGCCGGACTCGGAGGAGGAGGTGCAACCGCAGGCGACGCCCGAGCAACAGGCGCCGTAGGAGCCTTAGGCCGCAGCTTCACACTCTTATTGTTCTTGTGCTTCTTCTTAGCTGGTTCTGCAGCGTTCGGGACGGCTTCCGTACCTTCTACTATGAGTGGCAAGAGATGAATTCCAAACAGGATGCTTGGGTGAGTGCGAGAAGCGAGGTACTCACCTTCCTTATCGGGTGCCGCAGTAGCAACACTTGACGGCGCGCGCTTGCGGCGCTGTCCAGCCTTCTCACCGGGAGCTCTTGCTGTAGCTGCTGCGTCGACGTCCATCATGTCTGATCAAATCTACAGGTTAGCTCGTCTGTCATAGGAATGTGCAGTGCGTAGCCTACCATTACTGGTGTCAGGAGCTGCCGGACTTCTGTCGCTGCCAGTGGGTTTTGCTGGACGATTGGGTCCGACTGTACGACCCATAGAGCCAGCTGCGGTGGTTTGCACGCGTGTCGATGCGATGTCTGTGTTCGAGATCATATGTGAGTATCATGAAACTGCTCGAGTTGACATAGACTGACTTCTGCTGGTGGTAGCACTTCGACGAGCGGGCCTTGTTGTGCCGCCCGCTAGTGTCGCTGGGGCAGGAGTGCGTGGCTCATTCTATGGTGTTTAAATATGTATGTGGGGCAGGTAAACATGAAGGAATGCTCTTACCGCAGCTGCAGTACCTCGCTTCCGAGTGCGAGCAGAGACAGGCGTATCTGAACCGTCGGCCATTGATGAAAGCGTGCAGCAAACGGAGGTGAGTTGTGAATTATTCGAGGATATTGTTTGGTGATGTTTGACGAATTATTGATGGTTGGAATGAATGTGTCGAGAGAGTAAGGAGCGTAGCAGGCAGAGGGACGGGAGTCCTGAGAGAAGGGGGTGGTCAGAGAACAAGAGCCGCTGGCAGACGATGCGCTCGGCCTGCCCATAATCCCCCTGCATGGCGCAGCAAACTGATCTGGTCCGTCTCCACTCTGAACTGATGTTTATTCCGCTGTGCTTATTTTGTGGCGCCGCCATATTCTGGACTTACCTAGGATTTCGAGCCCCGGCGCTTATCAGAATACACATACATTCTCTTCTGCGCTCCTCTGGTTTACCACTCGCTGTGCATCAACGCCGGCTCCCACCATTCTCTACACAATGAGATGGTCCTGCTCGGGCTGCTCTAAAACATTCGAAAGGGAGAGGGACCTTGGGCAGCACCTAACGAAGACAAAAGCTAAGTCTTGTAAGGCCGCGCGGAAGCTGCGACAGCCTGTCCTACCCAACATCACTCGTCCCCGCCAATCCAATCACACAGCCGCCCCTGTCTCTCCGGTTCCAGCTTCTCCGCCTGCAAATGGCGCCCCAGGACCCTCTCACACGGTCCCGAACGAGAGCGAGGATGAACCACCTCCTGTTCCGTTTGAAGGAGACTTCTATGGCGACGACTATAACGCGCAGGACTTCCCGGGATTTGGCGATGACGATGCCAATGCTGCGCCATCTGCGCTGTCGCATCGGGCCCCTAAAGTCCAGGAAGACAGTGAGGAGGAGGACGATGCGGATGAAGAGGAAGCTGTAGGACTCGACGCCCTTGCCGGCGAGGATATCCATCTCGAGCAACCGGACCCTGTCGATCACGCTCAGCCACCCTTGCCAGAACGCGTCTCCCCTGTACCCTCCGCCGTAGATCCCGACGTGATCATGGGCGATCCTCCACACAATGAGGGCGGCAGAGATGCAGAGGATCATCATCGAGCACCCGCACCTGGCGGTGTCGAAGCTGCAGCGCACGATCGCCTCCGTTCCAAATCGGTTCACGTCGATCACTTTGGCGGCCAAGCCGGTGCTCCTCTCCCATCTCAGACATCACCCGCCTCCGCCTCAGGCTATCGTGCCTACGGCAGCAATGTAGGCGGGAGCAGCGACAACCCGTATGCGCCATTTCGGTCTGAACTGGACTGGAGGGTTGCTGAGTGGGCAAAGAGGCGTGCCCCTACATCTAATGCATTCTCAGAATTGCTTGCGATCAAAGGGGTGAGTGCACGTTTACAAACGTGTGTATTATTGATTCTCAAAAGTTTGCATAGCTCATCGAAGCCCTGGGGTTATCCTATAAGAATGCGAAAGAGCTCAATAACGTCATCGACGCAAAACTACCTCATCACCGTCCTGCCTTCACACGCCTCGAGGCCGAGGTCATGGGGGAGAAGTTTGAGATGTACAGTGCGCGTAACGTCCTCGGATGCATCATCTCTCTGTATAGCGACCCGGAGCATGCACGCTACCTCTGTTTGGCCCCAGAACGACACTATGCGGATGGCGACAAGACGATACGGCTCTACCATGACCTCCATACCGGACAGTGGTGGTGGTCTGTACAGGTTCGTGACATGCTTATCCGACTATATCCATTGCTTACTGTGTCACTGCGCCTCGTTTAGAGGCAGCTAGAGGCCGACAAGGCAGGCGCGACCGTCATCCCCGTGATCATCTCCTCGGACAAGACACAGGTCACGCTATTCCGCAACAAATCGGCCTATCCAGTCTACCTGACGATTGGCAACCTCCCCAAAACCATCCTATCGAAGCCTCGACGGCAGGGCCAGATCTTGCTTGCGTACCTCCCCACAAGTCGCCTTGAACACATCACAAACAAGACTGCACGCCGTGGCGCTCTCAACACTTCCACCCATGCATGAGGTACTTACTTGCACCCCTGCAGTCTGCGGGTCTCGATGGTATCCTCATCGCCAGTGGCGATGGTCTCGTGCGTCGATGTCACCCAATCCTGGCGGTGTACGTCGGCGACTACCCTGAGCAGTGCCTTGTCAGCCGCATGTACTCTGGCGACTGCCCGGTCTGTGAATCTCCGCACTCCTCCCTTGGCGACAACCCTTCCGAGCCGTATCTAAACCGCGACTTCGAAGCATCGCGGAAGGCTGCGAAATTGCCACACCGGATCGGTTCGCTGAAGCATGCGCTGCGGAGAGGATCAAGCCTGTACAGCATCCCTTCTGGGAAGATCTTCCAAACATCGACATATTCCAATCAATCGCATCCGACGTCCTCCATCAGCTGTACCAAGGTGTCTTCAAACATCTGGTGGCATGGCTCAAGGACGCTTGAGGAGCATCGGAGCTCGACGCACGCGTTGCCCGCCTTCCACCAAACCATGGGATTCGGATCTTCTACAAAGGTATCAGCTCTCTCTCGCGGGTCAGCGGTGCCGAGCATCGTCAAATCAGTCGCTTCCTACTGGGTGTCATCATCGACATGAATCTGCCTGGTGGACGCGACGCGAGTGCACAGCTCGTACGTGCGACACGTGCTCTCCTGGACTTCCTCTTCATGGTGCAGTACCCGATTCATTCGGCCGAGACTCTGGATGCCCTCGACAGTGCGCTCTCCGCGTTCCACGACGACAAGGATATCTTTATCACTCTTGGTGTCCGCACAGGCTTCAACATCCCCAAGCTCCACTCGCTACAGCGCTACGTCCGATGCATCAAGCTCTTCGGAACCACGGACAAGTACAACACCGAGACGTCAGAGCGCCTGCACATCGACTTCACGAAGGATGCGTACCGTGCTACAAACCACAAAGACGAGTATCCACAAATGACGAGGTGGCTGGAACGCCGTGAGAAGATCGCCCATCACTCCAACTACGTTCTTTGGCGCATACAACAGGTCGCTGTTGGTCCGCGACCTCTCAACGCTCACCACGGCATTCGCTGGCATGCCCCGGACATGACACACGCGCTCGACATCAAGATGACTCGGCATCCGTCTCGGAGGGCCGTCCCACTGGCCGAGGTCATCTCTCTATCTCACTACGGTGCCCGTTTCTTCACACCTGCCCTGACACGCTTCATCGTACAGTGGCGGCACCCCGAATGGACTTCCCGGCAGGTTGAATACCACGCAGACGACTTCATTCTACCTTTCGAGCGCCTCCCTGTATTCCACCGCATCAAGTTTTGGAATGAGGCCATCTATGGGAAGGAAACCGTCGACTCTGTGCATGTTCATCCACGCCAGACTCACGATGGAGCGTCTCGTGAGATTGTCACTCCTGCACGTTTCGACACCGTCCTCGTACGCGTGCGCGGTGTTCCCGAAGAGGGCTCACAAACGCGAACTTGGACTCACGGTTGTAGTCTGAATGGTAAGCCTACTTTTTACTCCATGCTTCGCACAAGGGCCAGTCATCTGATATGTAAGTATTCCTTATAGATGTACGTGTTGCCCAAGTGCGGCTCGTCTTCTCGCTCCCTGATGCGATCCTTGACTATCTTTTCCCGGTTGCTGCTGGTGTTCAACGGCCTCCTCGCCATCTGGCGTATGTCGAGTGGTTCTCGAAGTTCTCTGCGACGCCCGATCCGAACTCTAGGATGTACAGGGTGGTTCGGACGATCCAAGGCGGCGAACGTGTGGCCTCAGTCCCCCCCGTGGGTCTCATAGAGCGGAGCGCCCACTTGATCCCCAAGTGGACTCACAATGTTCCTCGAAACTGGACATGCGAGAACGTGCTCGAGCAGTGTGGGACGTTCTATGTCAATCCGTTCCAGGATGGGCATATTTACTTCAACCTATATTAGAATTGCATTACTTGTACACCTCGTTTGATTCGTGACGCATCCCGGCGCCGCATGTCAATACTGGGGCCGTCATCGTTACCTGACCGCATGCATTCCCAGGTATACGGCCGGGTTCGAACGCTCTTCGGAAACCGGTGCTCTCCAAGTGCGGCGCACTGCTGAGCGTGAGTATCACGACCCTTGCTTCGCGGCCACACAACTCGAATGCTGAGCGCTGGTCATAAGATGACTTCTCACTCAATCTCATCGAAAAACGCTCGATTTTTAAGTATCCCAAGATTTTACATGCCTTTACGCAGAATTACGGCGCATTTCATGAAATGTGCGTATTCCAATGTAATATTTGGAGGAGGGTTTTCCTGATGGATCTTGCGTCACATCGAGCAGGCTCGCTTAGGCGCATGCAAACGCTTGATATTCATCTCGGCAGAGTGGACGGCCTGCAATTCAGATACGGGCTTCGGAAAGTGATCATAAATCTAAGCGCACACCGAGTGCCTAACAAGCAAGCTTCAAGACACTCGCAGTGGGAATGTACTGGGCATGCACTTGCCCGGGCCTTGCTGTGCTCAAGGACACATTAGTGCGGAGGCGCAAGGTGGCAACAACACTAGAGCACACCAGTCAGTAGAGAACTACACTACAAAATTGCGGAGATCGGACGGGGAGCCTCACGCGGACGCATAGGCGGACGTGTCCCGGAGAGGCCGACTCTGTTGGTTCCATTTGAGACTCGCCGCTGCGCTGAATGTGTCCTCGCACGCGACCTGCGGAGATTCTCTTTCAGCCGAGATCTACGCAAACGAACCCGTTTCTCACCTGGTCATCCGTCAAAACTTCATATGGGTCCTGCGTGGACCGCATTCGCATTCTGCTCGTGCACCTACCACGCTCGCACGTTCACCTCCACGCTGCACCGTGTCTGAACTTCCCATCGTCATCTACGAGCCACCCCGGGACGATGCCAAGAGGCGGAGGACTGCGCGCGAGGTCTCTCGATCCAAAATGCAAGACCGTCTGAACGGGAAAGTCTGTGAGTGTCTGTTTCTCCGCGCGAACAACTGCAGCGTGCTTACCCGTTCGTGCAGACGACCTATCCGACGGTGAGCTCACGCAGATGTCATATGTGCCCTTGCGCTATGCCCGCTAGATCGTCTCGGAGATTGGCTTCAAGATTGTCGGCTGGCCGGCGGACGTCTCGTTCACGGACCTGAGCGCCATCGGCGGTGGCGTCCGGACGCTCGACGATCTCCTCGCGCGATGGGATTTGCCGGACGGGCACCCCCGCAAGCTGCGCTTCCAGCCGGCCTCGCGCGAAGACCGGGAGAATGCCGAACGCAACCCGGACAGCGTCCACCCCACGCCCCACTATCTGCCGATGTTGAGGAGGAGGGCCGCTGCCGCCAAAAAGAGATCTGCCGACACCGAAGTCACTTCCGTGGTATACCATCCAGAGGACATGGGGTACGTCGGCCACGAGACGACATCCACGGCACCGCCCAAGCCACAGGCCCCGGGCGAGAGGCAGCAGCGGGAGGACGTCACAAAGCGGCGGGCGCGGAAGTCCGACACGGAGACGAACGTGCGGCCAAGGCGGGAGAAGCCCGCAGTCTAGAGCATGCCGTTCGTGCTCCCAGGGGTGGACAAGACGACGGGCGGCGGTGGCGATGGGCGGGTGGCGAAGCGGCGGCGGCTGAATGAGCTCGCAGTGGTTGACGCGATCGCCAAGTTTGACCTCTCGGTGGACTTTGGTGGTATGCACGCCGACCCTGACTCGAACTAGATCGAGTCTGCGGGGCACAGTGAGCACGCGACGGACCCGATCAAGTCCACGTTGGACATCGAGTGGGACTGACGCGGGCAGTGTTCGCGCTGCGTACGAGCTGCGTACGAACGGGTCGGTGGATTGGACACTAATCTACTTCACATTTGTCATAATTCGTCGGTATTTGCTAGAACGGTGGTGAGACACAGCGCGGAGGAGTGCAGTAGTGAGAGACGGACAATCGGACGGTGTGTGCTTCGAACTACGCCGTGTGCCAGATTTGGCATTTTGATCGAGGCCCCAGCTCAAGGGTCCTCACGCCGCCCGTGTTCGAAGCGGGTGGCACGTAAATCGCGCGGAATTGGTCGACGCGGTGCCTCCGCGCAGCGTGTGCAGAACCGGCTGGGAAATAGCTTGCGAGCGCAGCCGGTGGTGCACCCTGAAATGACCTAATCCGGGCTATACAACGACTAGCCCCGCGCGTCCGCCCTGATCTATGAGCTCGCTTTACGTTCTCTCGCGGAGCGCGGAAAAACCCGGTGCTCACCGACGTGGTCTCGCTGAGCTGTCTCCGCCTCGCGTCTTTCCTCCCCACCGCCATCCGCCCGCTCGATGTGTCTCCTCCTCCTTCGACGCTCGCTGCTTGCTTTGCACGCCTCCCCCCTTTTCTTTCGGGATCTGGCGCGTCCGGGTTCTCGCCCCCCACGAGGACGCTACCTCAGCACCTCTACGACGCAGTCTGTGGAAGACGTCTCAGCATGAACACAGTCATTGCAGCCCAGGCTCACCGGCAGCAGGAACAGCCACAGTCGAGCGGTCCGACATTGTTTCCAGGTGCCACGCACTAGGGCGTGCCAGGGGGTACGGAGAGCCCATATGTGACCGCGTGGATACCCCTGAAGCAACGCAGCCACTCGCTGGAGTGTAGCAGACGTGGCGGGATGGCGGCACGAATGCGATTCCGTGCAGCAGGACGACGGCGCGGGCAAGGTTCCGCGCCGCGAGGCGAAGGAAGTGCGCTGTAAAAGGTAAGCACACGTTGATGCTCTGTACACAATCTCTTCGCTCACCACGGCGGCGGTACGCTCAGGCGCTCGGACAAGTGTGCAAGCGGGGTGCGAGCGCCACGTCGACGCGTGGCAGAGGACCGCGTGGCAGAGGACGCCGTTCCAGCGCTCGCGCTGCACGATGAGAGTGTGCTACGCCGACTCTCAAGCTTTCCTTTTTGCGGCCACGAGCCGTGTCAAGACGCAGCCAGCGCGGCGCACCGGACGGCGGAGAACACTGCAACGGAACCGGTGAGTATATTGTTCCCCGCTGCACATGGCAGAGGCTTACCGAGGCATATGCAGATGACGGACGATTGGCGGGGTCGAGACCAGGGCGTCGAGTAGGACGACTGTAGGACACCGCGATGATCTCGCTAGGCTGGCCACGGTCCCCGGGAGTCCGGGACCGTCGCCTTCGGCAAACACAGCGCCCATCGACATCGAGGCCTTCCCGGAGCGGCGGGCCAAGAGAGACGGCGGAGGCGAGTCAGTGGGGTCGAGTAGATGGTGGCGGTGCGAGAGTCAGTTGCGAACTTCGAAGCCGCACACGGGTTGTTGCGCCGTGTGGGCGTCTACAGATGTGTCGTCCTTCTCTTGTCTCCCCACGACCGCGCGGCGGGCTCTGAGGTACGTCCTGCGCTGCAGAGGTAGGCTGATGCTCGCTCACACCGTTTATGACACAGAGAGTCGCGATGCGAGCGTCTGAGTGCAGCCAGGAGCAGCTCGAGTTCAGCCAGGGCTCCCGGGCTGCTCTGGACACTTCCACGCTCGATTTCGCGAGCACGCAGGCACAGAATCGCGTTGTTCTAATCTCACGCATACGATACAACAACGGAATCCCCATCTACGCGATCTGAGCGCCCCGCGGCTGCGGCAAGCGATGCGGCGCTGGCTCAGCTTCCGCGGCCTGTTCGTGTACCCTCGAATCTCTCGCTTTCGATTCCGCGACGACGCCGCATCACAGTCGCGTCCCAAAAGCAATGCAAGGTATAATGAACCTCAGGGAGACCCACGACCACCCCAGCGCGCTCCACACTCATGGTCGAGCTGAGGGTGCGGAGCAGGCGCCTATCTGCGCGTTGTCCGCCCGTCGACTCTGCGGGGTTCCCGGTGGCCACGGCCTGCGCGGAGAGCCTCGGGAACGCGCTTACGCATTCTTTTTATAATATCGAGGGTATTACTCGTGTTTCTTCCACGGTGCGAGGTTTCTAACACTCCCGGCAGCGGTCCGAAGCGAGCCCGGCTGGTCTTGGCTCCCCAGGCTGATCTCGACGCCCTGTCTCTCAATTATCGCGATGACTCGTCGGAGAAGCGGCCTACGACTGGCCTCACAAGTACAGCACAACCCCAAGCCTTCAACGTACGCGATTCTGGCGTCTGAGGACCTCGGCGCCGTGTCCGAGGCTGGAATACACGCCGAGCCGGAAGATCGTGCGGGACAGCCGGATGGCTATGGGCGGGAGCGCAGCGCCAGCGTTCCCAGCGCCACAATTCAAAAGGCGGGACCCCAATCATGGGTACGTCCATTGTACTCTTCGCTTTACACAACCACACAGGATGTCAATGACATTTTTGTTATAGCCGATGTCATCCCCTCGCCAACGCTCCACGGGGTCGATCTCGCCGCAACCGCTGACGCCTACTATATATCACGCACGCTCGATCGAGTCCGAAGAGTACGACATCCGTGCTGAACTCGCTGCTGAGGCCGCGGACGAGGAGAACGCGACGGCATTCTCGCCCAATCAATGTCCCCAGATGGGGTATGAGCATCGCATGCCCAATGATCCGAAGTCAGACCCAACACTGTCTCGGCTGCTCAAGAAGCGCTTGGAGGTCCTCGTGGATAGCTACGGACAGAGCAATGCTCAACTTATGGTTCTCAACGCCGAGATCTGCGCCCGTATCTCCTATCATGCCGAAGCGGACGTCGCACGCGAGGAAGGCTGGCCCCTGTCTCTAGACCCCGAACTGATCTCCACACGTGTCCTCCACCTTCAAGCTACTCGCCAGGACATTGTCGATAAACCCTCGAGCGCGTACATGTGGCAGATGCTCACCCGTGCTTACACCCCTCAGCTCACCCTCAAGATCATCGCCAGTCTCTTCGACAGCAGCCCGAGTCACCCACGCCTTGCGGAGCTAACGACGAGTCTTCGTGTCGGATAGTAAGTCGTTATGGTAGCTTGGTCCGATGTCCTCACACTAACATTTTTGACACATCTTAGCTACGGCGAGGTCAGCGAGGCGATTATCATGAGTGCTGTCGAACGCCTCTTTCCGCGACACATCTTGCAAGATGGGGACTTCCTGCCGTTCTCTGCAAAAGGATTTACACAACTCATTCTCGCCCCCGAGGCGGCACTGATGCTCATTGCCGAAGACCGCGCGGTCACGCTCGCAGAAGCGCGGCAAGTCGCGTTGTCAAGCTCCATGTATGGATACTTTCGGTTCCCATACGACACGGAGGATGGGTCAGCGACAGGCACTGGGTCAGCCCACGATGTCGTCCGGAACAATTTCCGTGAGATGAACGCTCGTAAGGTAAGACGGTCTCGATGAGGCTACCACAACACGCTCATCATCATATACATTCAGCCCCCTGCAAACAGGAAGGACGGCGTGAAGGCTCGCCCGCTGACTATACCCGCTGGTACCGCCATCCCGGCGCGTGTAGCCTCTACACCGCCCATCGCCGGATCGTCGAAAACCGGTGCTAATAACCCGTCGACGAAGCGCAAGGTCACTGCGCGCGCTCTTGCCAAAGGACGGGTCACCCGAGGTTCCACTGCGCGGGCCGCTGGCGAAATGGGAACTCAGTTGCTCACAGACGGAGATTTTCCCGAAGTGAGTCACTATGGTCTCTGAGCGGAATATCATCCTCACGCCCTTATCTTCAGCCGTCCCCGCCCAAGAAGGCCCGCAAGACCAACCACACCAGGGCAAGATAAGGGCGAAGTGAACCACCGCGACTCAGCTCTGCTTGGCCCGTCTGTCTCGCGAACATCTGGTCGATGCACCGGCAACTTTATCTCGCCTATCACCCGCTCGTCCTCAGGCTTCATCGTTTGCACTCTTAGCTTGTCTCTTGTCCTCCTACTCCTGCTCTCCCCCTTGCACACCTTCCGCTTGCCAGCATCTCTCAGTCGCCTGTGCCTGTCTCTCCGATCTCGCCTGCTTTGCCACCTGCATCTCTCGCCCGATTTGCCACCTGAACCACTCGTCTGCTTTGCGGCCTGCGCCTCTGATTTCTCTCGCTCGCCTTTGTTCCAGACCGTCTCCTCTGCAAGGCGTCCAATAGGTTGTTCACTTTCGCTCCGTTCCGCCCTGTTTCCACATCAAAAGGCGCCTCTGGGCCGTTCTAATATTTAAAAAAGCCCCTTGCTCCCGTAGTACGACCCTCGCGACTCCTGTTCAATGTTCTGTGTTGCCCCAGTACCCAAAAATGAACATGCAAGTTCGACCGTGCAGCGCGAGCGTTGGATGGACATTCGTCGACTATGTATGCATTTCTGAACTCCGCTGAACTCTAATGTGTCGCGTCCACGTCACCGCCTCTTCTCACTTCCTCGCTTGTCTCTCTCTCCACAACCTCAATCTGCTGGATCTCTCTCTGGTCTTATCTTCTCTGGAATCACCCATGCGACAGTCTCCTCTGCATGTCTCAACTTGCAGCGATGTAAATTTTAGCAAGATCTACTCGGATGTAGAATGCATACGCCACGGCCTTAGATGTTCGCCGACACAGACAACCTGCACTCGCGTAAGTCTGTCGCCTGTTTTTTCGTGCAGCACCCTTCTCGCCCACCTTTTTCTCCTCTCTTCCAGGTTGATGATCGGTCTTGGCGTCTTCCCTATCCGCGGCGGTGCGACGGTGTCTGCTGCAAGGACCGTCGCTCGGACGAATGCCAGCCGACAGCGTAGACATCGCGACCCACGGATCTGTATGTACGCCCTCGTCATCAACGAACAGGTCATTTCTTTACAACTTCCTACAGGTGTTCAATCACGTCTCGACTCCCTCCCCCGTCGTCGACATCACCATGCCTGCCATTCTGCAAGGACTCGAGGATATGTGAGTATCTAGCTCATTCCCATATGCAGCGGCCCTCATCCGCTCGCTCAACAGCCGTGTCGTCTTTATTGCGGTGCTCGTGATCGCGCCCGTGCCAGTCCGTCTTGCTCGCTAATATGCGTGCATGTCTTCGCATGGCTCCTGTATCTTCTGGCATGTGCATAGCCAGTGGGTGCGCGTGGCGCGCATTGCGTAGATGGTCAGTTCCCTCTCGTAAGCCCCACATTACGCTGATCCTCACCGGAGCTAGAGATAAAAGCGGGGATGGACAGCGAAGCCTGATCCCATCCCTCTCCCCCGTAAGCGCAGCCATGCTCTCCAAGCTCAAGAGAACGTGCAGGCATATTATTGGGTCCTCGGACGAGGATATCCCTGTCATTTCGTCGCGGGACTGGGCCGAGAACCTTGCGCAAAATCCTACTCGTCGAGTACGTCACCGGCTTTGCTCTTCCGTTCCCTCTTCGCGCTCATCACTCTTCTCCGTAGGTGGTCGACTATGTGACGAGTCTCTTCCCGATCTTCAGCTGGATCACCCGCTACAGTACGCATTACGTTCGTTCTCCCCCCTTCTACTGTGGCGCTGAGTTCTCGCCCAACGCTGCCTTCGGAATCACCAGGCTCGTGTCTCTGTACGCCATCCGTTGGATTTGTGACCGCCTCTCCAAGCGCTACCCTACCAAAGGTCAGTCTTGCACCCTCGCGGCCCAACCGCCCGTTGAGACCTCTGCAGCACGATTCTTCTTCTTCATGTCCGTCTTCCGGAACGCGTTCGTCATCGTCGTTCTCACGATCGGATCCTGGCTGTTTACTCGCTACTGGAAGGGGTCTGACGGCGAGTACCCCATTAAGATCCTGCAGGACGTGCCGAGGGGCTTCAAGCACCTGGGCCAGCTGATTATCGACCCAGAGCTTGTGAAGGCGCTTGCCGGGTAGCTCCCCGTCACTACTATCATTCTCTTCTTGGAGCACATCTCCATTTCGAAGTGTGAGCACCGCTCGTATGCCGTACATGTCGCATGCGCTGATGATCTTGTTCCAACATTCGGTAGGGTGAACGGGTACAAGATCGATCCCAACCAGGAACTCATCGTCATCGGCGTGACCAACACCATCGGCACGCTCTTCGGCGCGTGCCCTGCTACAGGCTCCTTCTCGCGCTCCGCCCTGCAGTCCAAGTCCGGCGTGCGCTCGCCCGCGTCCGGCCTCTTCAGCGCCGTCGTCGTAATCGTCGCGCTCTACGGCCTCACCCCCGCGTTCTTCTGGATCCCGTCCGCCGCACTCTCCGCGGTGATCGTGCACGCCGTCGCGGACCTCGTCGCGTCCCCGCGTCCCCGCGGCAGGTGTACTCCTTCTGGTGCGTGTCCCCCGTCGAGCTCGTCATCTGTGTCGCGTCTGTACTCGTCACCGTGTTGGCGACGATCGAGGACGGGATCTACACGTCCGTCGCCGCGTCGCTCGCGCTGCTCCTCGTGCGCCTCGCGCGTCCGCGCGGGCACTTCTTCGGGCGCGTCACGCTGCACAACACGAACCAGTCCAGCTCGCGCGACGTGTACATCCCGCTGAGCCCGAACAAGTTCTTGATGAACGAACGTGTGAAGGTGTACTCGCCATCGCCCGGCGTGGTCGTGCATCGCTTCGAGGAGAGCTTCCTGTACCCGAACTCGTCGCTCGTGAACGACGCGATCGTGGACTTCGCGAAAGCGCACACGCGCCGCGGGCGCGACATGACTAGGGTCAAGTCTGGGGACCGCCCGTGGAACGACCCGGGCAAGAACAACGAGGTCGAGGACAACGCCGAGAAGCCGCTGCTGCGCGCCGTCGTGATGGCCTTTCTCGACAGCTTGCGAGGTCCGTATGTAAATGTAGCATAATAAATTTTATTCGCAAATATATTCGGGCGTGATCCATCGGCGGCGTGCACGACTCTTTCAGCGAGTGTTTTAAACATGTCAATGCACTGTAGTTTACATTGATTTCGTCGGTTGGGAACAGCTCAGATCACCGTTCAGAACACCTTGCCTGATGGCGTCCGAAACACCTATAAAAATAGCTATACAAGCTGTGGTACACATCGGGAGCAACTGTGTAGAACACCTAAACATGCACACATGAGGTGTTCTGCACAATTATTCTCAATACCGCCCAAAAATGTTCGGAACACCTCTTTCGGTCGTTCCGTCGTAACTGTGCCCAACACCTCTAAAAAATGTGGATCCTTCCCGCAGTGCCGCGGCGCTGCTCCGGCCAGCGTCCCTTGGACAGCAGCTTCTTCAGCCTCCTATCCAAAGTCCCTGATCACGCTTTCTATGTCTCTCGGGTGGCCAACAAACACGTTCGCAAAAGGAGGGACTTCAGATTAGACGTCAGACGTCATCAACAAAGTACGGACACAACTGTAAGAGTTCGAGTATAACCATTTCCCCGCCTTCGCACATTCACCTCCGCATGTGTGCCCGCCCCGCCACCACACCGCTGTGAACTTCCCGAGGAAATCGTTCGGCAACGTCCTAGGAGTACGACGTCCTCGAATGGCATGAATCGCACCCGTGACACAAAACTGGTCGCCGAAGTAACGCATGGTGAGCGGGCAGTGCGGCGTACCCATCCCTGGACACGACGCCGACGGGTCTTCGCTCCGAGCCCACGAAGTGTGATCGGCGTGCACGGAGAACCCGTGATCCTCGTACTTCTTGACGAGCTCATGGCCGACGAATGGAAAAGTCGCGCCACTCACACCGTCTTCGAGGAGCAGGACAGTCGTGGTGAGTGCGCATAGTTCGTCCGTGAGGAGGGGGTAGGCGATGCAGAAGTTCGTGGGAGTGATGTAGTTCATCACGGCGGTGTTCCAGAAGCTCGCGATGGGGAGAAGTGGAGAGTTTGATTCGCTCTGGATCACGTTGACGCGACGTCCATCTGCGCGCGACATACGTGCGACGGAGCGAATATCGCCGTAGGCGGTGTAGTCCGGGTCGCCAAGAAACTCGACGGTGTATTGCTCAACGTTGACGAGGTATGCGATAACGTGCCAAACGAAGTCACGCGGGATATAGACGTCGAGGTCACAAGCCTTCCAAGGGTGGCGGAACAGAATGGCAAGCGCTGCAGACCCGCATATGACGGAGCAGCAAGTCTCCAGCTCGTCGAGGAAATGGTGCGGATTCTCGACGTAGTGGCGGAGGAAACCGACGAGCTTCCTGTGAAGATATGTGGAGATATACTCGTCGGCTACCGCTCCGGTGGCTCGCATGCGCAAGAGGGTTTCGACGTGCAGGTGGTCGAACACGGTCTCAATCATGCCTCCGACCAGGGAGGTGAAGATTCAATGGAACATCCGAGTACCGGGCCCTGGAGAGCGCGAGAAGTGTGGTCATGGTCGGGGACTTCGGGGCTGAGGGAGCGATATCCGGAGTGTCGAGGAGAGCGACTGGGAGATGCCGGAAAGGAGTGGCGGGCTGAGAGAGTACCAAAGAAGGCGACGGAGAGAGCGTCGATGGGAGCAGTGAGGACGCCTCGAGCGTCGGCTACACCGTCAGATGTGGACAAATGGTGGGAGGTAGTGGAGTCGCGGATGACGCGGAGAGCACAAGGAGCAATAAAGATGCTATAAAGCGCGATGTTAACGGTGGTCTCCGGCAAGAGTATCTGGGGACGAAGGGCTTACGGTACGAGGTGTGTTTAGTACTCCAACGCCTCACGCGCCGACTGAACCGTCAGAAGTGGACGGACGTGATTCAGGCATCGACGCTATGTACCCCCAGCGCTGGTCGTTATTTTACTGACATTTTTCACGCAGCCTTTTGGGATTTGAAGCGGACGCGCCCGCGTCTAAAGCTCACCCTGCGCTGGGTGCCAGGGCACACGGACATCCCCGGAAACGAGGCGGCCGACGCGGCGGCCAAGGATGCTGCTCACAAGCACTCCTCTGACACTCGACAACTCCCGAAGTCGCTCCGCAAGCCACTCCCGCTCAGTGCCACGCGGGCTCGTCAAGACTTCAAGGCTGAGCTCGAGCGTCGGGCGGGTGTGCGGTGGCGCACGTCCGTGCGCGGCGTGCGCATGGCTTCCGGGAGTGAGCCGTCCTTCCCAGGTTTCTTGATCGCCGCTATGATGGCAGTCACCCAAGCAGCGGGCGCGTCGCCCGAGTCAATGCACGCCTGGAACAGTGAGCGTAGGTTCTCGGAGTCGAGAGCGAGCACATCGTCATATCCTATGCCATCATCTCCTCGCGCTGAGCCCTTGCAGTGTGTCCGAATGTGCGCCTTGACGTCGTCTATTTCCTCGACCGTGAAAGCGCGCGAGAAGCATAGGTTTGCGCTCGTGTCCTTCGTGCGAGGCGGGAGAGACTGCGCAAATGCGCGGTTCACAGCGTGGGTCATTGGGTCAAACACAGACGGGAGGACATGTGGCGGGTTCATGCGGACTTCGAAGACGTCCTTGAGGTCGTCTGCAGCCACCGGCACCGTACGATGCTTGTCGCGTATTAGCGCCTGGAAGGCCGTCCAGAACGCGCCGTCTGACGGCGCATTAAGGAGCTTATCGACGTTCTGCTTCCGTTTTGCGAGTGAAATATTGGAGTGCGACATGGATGGGCACAGAAGCTTACCTGATACTCGATCCACTGTTCTTTCAGGCGTAGCGGGACAAGGACTTCGCTCTTGCCGTGAACATATAGCCAAAAGGCATAGCGTCTGCGTTGGGCCTTCGATGGTGCAAGAACGAACCCATGATAGCATGGGTTCATGAGTTCCCTTAAGAGGTATTAGTGGAAACGCGACGAGAGTCCCAAGATATGCGAATACATACCTTAATTCTGAAGAATGCGCTTCATCTACAAGCGTCCAGAATGCCTCACAAAACCGAGCCACACGGGAAGGACAGCACAAGAATTCCCCCACTGTGAGGAATGCACTTAGACCTAGTACGCGTGCCGCCAGAAAGTACGAGAGTGAGTGGATGGCGAATGTCATATAATAGAAGGGGGACAACACGGTCTCTCACCAGACATAAACATCAATTCCTCACTGGTGTAGATTCCGACGCCTCCCACACGTTTCCGGATGACATTGATAGCCAGATTCTCAGATGTGAACCCATTCTTAGCCTCCCTCATAACCCAATCAGCCATCTGATTGAGAAACGCGTGGTTTTCTGAGAAGATGTCAGGGTGCCACACTGGAAGCGGGTCAGCCTGCGGCGTCCAATACGGCTGCAAAGAGCTGCGCTCAGTGAATGTGATGCATCTATAACAGGAGTAAGCATACTGCGTACAAGTTATCCGGAGACAGGAATGCGACAATGTAAGTGTTGAAGTCGAGTGCCAGGCCGACACGGAATTTGCGAATCTGGTGAAGCATAATCAGCTCCGTTCATACCTGGAGGATATCTTTGCTCACCGATGTCGATACCTTCTTGATTGTATTGTGCCATTGTTCCCGGGTATAGACTTGCGTGACAGTATGAGTGTGCAAACGCACCTACAGCAAGATCATCATGAGTGAGCGGAACACCAGACTGTTTAAGTTGAAGATATCAAAATACCTGCAGGCGCAATGTCCCCAGCTCCAAGACGACAGTTTGCGGTGTTGCATATGCACGATTAAGGTGCACACCAGCAAACGACGAGAGTGGTTGTGTCCCGATACGAGGCCAAACGTATTCTTGAGCACCCTTCGAGCCACGTTTGATCTGCGAGTCATGACCCAGCATGTACATGTTACCTAGAGCGGCACGGCCCAGCTGAACGCGAGTGTGCCTTAGAGCCATTGGCACCCTATCGAGCTCCTCTTGAGCGGCCTCCTGTTCAGAGTCGGTAGCATCTGCCCAGAGCCGGCGGAGGCGGAGGTAGAGGAGAAGTTTACCAGTGTCATCCTTGAGATGATCCAGCCAGCGAGAGATGGCGTATGCATTAGCAATAGCCTCGCGATACTCGGGCATAGAGAGAGCGGCAAATGAGAGCAGGATAGATGATAGACACGAAGAGCGGAGGAACGCCAGCAGTATTTGGAAAGTGAACAGACTCGAACGCGCCTGACGGACGCGACACGCTCACGTGCACCTTCTCCGGTGCTTCACCTCAGAAGTGGCACCGACATCTAAGCTGCTGTCTATCCCGCAATTCGGCTCTGTGAAGCACAGATTTTGGTATACAGAAGCTTGTATATGTATAGAATATACTCTGAGCTTGTGTGCTCTTAGTAATTTATGCCTGCCAAGTTATGGCAGAAAAACATCTACGTTCATGGTTTCAGCGCTTACTAGGATGAGCGCTCTCAGGCTCCTGCTCTCACCTCCATCTATGATCTTGCTTCCTCTTTGCTCACGGCTGCTTGACCTCGTTCCTCTGCAACTCACCACACACACCCTGGCCCAGCCATTCTCCGCTATATTGACATCTACCTCGCTCGCGCTCTCTGTGCTAGCACCACAACCGAAACCTTCGCCCACAAAGACCAAAGACCAGTCCTAATGAAGCTCAAGCTGTCTGACAAGCATTTCCGGGAGAAACCCGCGCGCCGTCGCAACATCGCCTGCATACGCTGTCCTCCCAGCTGCGAAGCGTACACTTATGCGGGCCGCGTCGCCGGAACAAGCAGGGTATGTACTGTACAGAACACCCCACTCGCTCGTGTGCTCACTGCATGCTGCTACGGCAGTCAAACGGTGTGCGCTGTTCTGGTCCAAAGTGCAAGCACCACCTTCGCCTTCTGCCACCTCGACTTGTGCCGCCCGAGTCCTCCCGCCTTGTGCCACCGACGCCTGCAGTCAAGATCGCCCTGCCTCCCGCCTGTCTTTCCGCTCGCCCCCCGGCCCCAAAGCTGCAGGTCACGACCACGACCACGGTTGTGGGCCGTGCCCCGTTCGGCGTCACCAATCAAGCTCATGGGGTCGAGTCTGCTCACGTCAGGTCCACCATAGCGCAGTTCGTGAGCTCGACAGGGAAGGCAGAGGCATGGGTGGGTGTCCACGTTCATGACGACACAAAACAAGGCCGGCTCTCCATTCCTCAAGTGGGCGCTCTTCGAGATCGCGATGTGCCTCCCATGACTACTACCCTGCTCCTGCTCTCCGCCCGCAACGTGTCCGGGGCCGTCGCGTCACGTTGTCGCTTTCGACACCGAGGTTCGCAAGACCGTCCTCGCATCATACTTCAAGGCCCTTGCGACGCTCGAGGCGAAGCAGGTCTCTGCTATCCCTTATGGGCCGTCCAGCGCGCTTCTCTCCGCAGTAAAGCGTAGAGACGCGTCTGTCTACGCACTCTTCGGCGGTCAAGGGACCAACGAGGTCTACTTCGACGAGCTCCAGACTCTCTACGACATCTACAAGCCCTACGTCTCACAATTCCTGACGAATGTTACCCGCGATATCTTGATTCCCCTCGTCGAGGAATCTGAGGAGGACACCTACTACACGCATGGCCTTGACGTAATTTCATGGCTGACAGGCGCATCACCGCGCCCCCCTGTCTCCTACCTCGCCACCATCCCCATCTCATTCCCTCTCATTGGCCTTACGCAGCTCACGCAGTATCTGGTCGTATGCCGAGTCACTCAGTCCACCCCTGGCGACCTCCTCTCTCGTCTCCAAGGGTCTACCGGTCACTCTCAGGGTCTCGTCTCGGCGCTCTGCATTGCGGCGTCGATGACCAGCGAGTCGTTCTTCGAGAACGCATTGAAGGCCCTCAAGTGGCTCTTCTACTCCGGCCTGCGCGGCCAGAAAGCGTTTCCTGTCCTTGCACTCGAGCCGACCATTGTGCAAGACTCAGTAGAGGGCAGCGAGGGCGCCCCCAGCCCTATGTTGTCCGTCACTGGCTTGCCTCTCAAGGACCTCAAGACACGCATGCGAAGACAAACAAGCACCTCCCCGACAACTCGCAGATCGGCGTGTCCCTGTACAATGGTCCCAAAGTGTTTGTGTCGTCACCAGCCCCTCGCGTGCGCTGTACGGTCTCGTCACCCACCTCCGGAAGGTCCGCGCACCCAGCGGGCTCGACCAGAGCAAGACTCCCTTCTCGCAACGCAAGCCGGTCTTTTCGGTGCGCTTCCTCGTGGTTGGCGTCCCCTATCACAGCAAGTACCTCGCAGATGTTGCGGATGAGGTCATGGATGGCCTCGAGGGCAAGGAGTTGTGGTCCAAGGAGGACCTCGCGATCCCTGTGTACCACACAGAGAACGGTATGTGCGCTTAATCAGTCATTTATAGGCTCATCTGACCGTGTATGTATTAGGCTCCGACCTCCGATCAGTCGATGGGTCTCTTACTCGGGCGCTCTGCGACCAGATCTTCACCCTTCCGATCCACTAGTCAAAGGCGACCGACTTCCCCGAGACCGCTACACATGCGGTCGACTTCGGTCCTGGTGGTTTGAGCGGAATCGGTCCTTTGACTTCGCGGAACCTCGAGGGCCGCTGTGTGCGCGTCGTCATTGTGGGCGACAGGTCTAAGGGTCCTGCGGAGCTCTACGACGCGCAGAACATCAAGACCGAGCAATGGTGGGCGAAGAAGTTCTCCCCGTCTGGTGAAGACCAGGTATGTCATGTCTTTGTCTTACCACAGATTTGTGCTGACAAGGATACACCGACGATATCATCCAGATCGACATGCCATTCTCTCGCCTGCTCGGCAAGCCCCCAATCATGGTCGCCCGTATGACGCCGACCACCGTGAAGGCAGGCTTCGTGAGCGCCGTCCTCGACGCGGGTTACCACGTTGAGCTTGCGGGCGGCGGACACTACAGGGCCGCCGCACTTCGCGAGAAGGTGGCGGAGATCCAGAGCAAGACACATGCGGGTGTCGGTATCACGCTGATCGCACTCTTCATCAACCCGCGCCAATTTGGCTTCCAGTTCCTGTTGTGGCAGGAGATGCACCGCGAGGGTCTCCCAATCGAGGGCTTCTGCGTTGCAGCAGCCGGTATCCCCAGCACGGAGAAGGCGGCTGAGATCATTGACGCGCTCCGCGCTGCTGGCATCAAGCACGTCTTGTTCAAGCCCGGCTCCGTCGACGGCATCTGCCAGGTCGTGAACATCGCGGCCGCCAACCCCGACTTCCCCATCATCATGCAGTGGACCGGTGGTCGTGCGGGAGGTCACCACTCGTGCGAGGACTTCCACCAGCCTATCCTCTCGACGTACGGCTCCATCCGCCAGCACTCGAACCTCCTGCTCGTCGGAGGCTCTGGCTTCGGCGGTGCCGATGATGTATGGCCGTACCTCACCGGTGACTGGTCTGTTGAGGCTTTCGGTGCTCAGCCGATGCCTTTCGACGGTTTCCTGTTCGCCAGCCGCGTCATGGTTGCGAAGGAGGCCCACACCAGCTCGTCTGTCAAGGACCTCATCGTCGCCGCGTCCGGCGTCGACGACTCGAAGTGGGAGGGCACCTACTCGAAGAAGACCGGTGGCATCCTCACCGTCCGCTCGGAGCTCGGCGAGCCCATCCGCGAGATCGCGACGCGTGCCGTCAAGCTCTGGAAGGAGTTCGACGATACCATCTTCAAGCTGCCCAAGGAGAAGCGCACGACGTGGCTCAACGAGCACCGTGCGGAGGTCATCGCGGAGCTCAACAAGGACTTCGCGAAGCCGTGGTTTGGGTGGAAGGACGACTCCGTTGTCGAGGACATCGCGGACATGACCTACGAGGAGGTCGTCCTGCGCATGGTGCGCTTGATGTACGTCGCGAACCAGGAGCGCTGGATCGACACGTCGCTCCGGAACCCGGAACCTCACCGGGGACTGGCTGCGCCATGTTGAGGAGTGCTTCGCTGGCATCAACGGCGGCCAGAAGCCGTCAATCCTTCAGTCTTACACGTCGCTCGACAGGCCCCAGGCGTTCATCGAGAAGTTCTTCAAGACGTACCCGGCCGCAACGGAGCAGCTCCTTGCGTCCGAGGACAAGGCCTACTTCCTTGCCATCCTGCAGCGCCCCAGTCAGAAACCCGCACCTTCATCCCCAAGCTCGATGCAAGCCTTGAGGTCTGGTTCAAGAAGGTATGTGGAATATGCCGGCCTTACAATTTTCTACATCGTGCTAACTTCGCTTTAACAGGACTCCCTCTGGGCTGCTGAGGACATCGACGCTGTCTTCGACCAGGACCCCCAGCGTGTGTGCATCCTCCAGGGCCCTGTTGCCGTGAAGCACGCGAAGGTCAAGGACGAGCCTATCAAGGAGATGCTCGGAAACATCACCTCGATCTTCATTGACAAGCTCGTCGACCGCTTCTACGCCGGCGACAAGTCGAAGATTCCGACAGCCGAGTACCTCGCTCCGGCACCTCGCGCTCTCCCCGCTGTGATTGCCTCCGCCGTCGCTGGCAACACCGCGACTTACGTCATGGGTCAGTCCACCCCGGAGACTTTGGTGCGGCTCGAGACCCTCGTGGGCCCCAAGCTCAGCTGGGCACGTGCGCTACTCACGTCCACGACCATCGTGCAGGGCACGGCGTACGTTGACAACCACATGCGTCGTCTCTTCGCTCCCCACTGGAGCAGAAGGTTGTTGTCGAGACTGAGGGATCCCGTCCGACCAAGATCTGTGTTCGGTAGCGCCCGCTCGTACGGCGAGCATGACCCGTCGTTCAAGGCGATCGAGGCCACTTTCAACGCTGCAACTTCGACAATCGACGTTACTATTTTCGAGGAGCGCCCGCGTCCCTCTCCACGTTGTCTACAAGCCCGCCATGGGCTACGTGCCCATTCACAAGGTCGCCGATGACTGCCACACGCGCATCAAGGCCTTCTACGGTGACGACGAGGTGCTCCCCGAGGTCGACCTCCGCAACAGAAATAGTGATTTTGACCTTAACCTCTACGCAGGACACGCCGTGGCTGACACGGCGCGTGCACACGATCTGTGAATCGTCGCAGTCGGGTGCAGGGGAGAAAAAGACGAGGAGCGCGCGGTGCGCATGGCGGCCTCCGAGGCGTAGTAGCGCGGCATAAAGAGAGGTGTTGGTGCCCATAGTGCCCATGAGGAAGGTAAGCCATATGTAGTACTCAACTCGGTGTAAGGGAGCTACAGTATATTACATCTCACAAGAGCAATACGATATATACAAGGACAGATGTACGGTGGAAGATATGTGTAGATATGGTACAGTGGTTGGGTATATACATGTTTCAGCTACAGACGACAAGGAGAGCAAGATATACAGCAAGACAGCGGCAAACGACGGATCACAAACAGCAAGACAACACAGACATGACGAAGAGGCCACAAGGAGGAACAGAATGAACACCCACCGTCTATATGCTTGCAGCAGTTAAGCTCCCTTTCAAAGGCCGCCGCAGTGTCTATCAGCGACGACACTACACAATTTGATAGAAAGAGCACTGACCTGCCCATGTCTCCTTCCAACAGGAAGGAACTTGGACGAAGGCGAGGAATGGCTCCAAGTGTGTTTAGCAGTAGAAAGCGAGGCGGACACCATGGCCCAGGCCTTCGACGCAGTGGGTGGGCCGACCGACGATTTGTAGAAGTGGAATAGCATCGCTAAAATGTCCGCAAATGTCGCCGCGGAATGCTCCAGGACCAATATAGTGGAAGACAGATGCCGGAGAGTTGGGTGTTGATGAGAAGGCCGTGAAGAGGCGCTCTCGCGACTGGCTAGCAGAAGACATCCCATTGCGGTGATGACGGGGAGATGGAGGACACGTAGGAATGGACAAGAGCGGCAGAGATAGTAGACAGCGCTGAGGGATGGGACGGTGCTCGCATCGCCACCTGTTGCATGGGAGACATGCAATTCCTGCAGGTGAGGCCATGCACGTCCTATACGTTGAAGATCGGCTTCGAGGGGGGGGAATGCAATGCCTCGGAAGTCGAGCACAACGATGCGCAGCTCGTGTTGCCGGAGAAGGGCATTTGCAAGTGGTAGCCAAGATGTGGGGCTCCACATCGGCGGGCGTACCGAAGTGTCGCCGTCCGGCGTCTCAGCATCCGTCATGTCGCCGGCGTCCGGGTGGGCCGTCTGCGAGTCGCCATCCGGGTACCCAGGGAGATTCACCGCGCAAAACCAGCGAGCGGTGAGACCGTAAAGCACTATATGTTGCAGAACAAAGTGCGCTGTCTCTAGAGATTCGATGGAGAGATGGGCACTGTTGCATAGCGCTGTCGTGGTGGCCTGTGTTGTGGGGATCCAAAGAAAGGCGGTACCTCCCGGGAATGACGACCAACAGGACACGAACATGTTGATATGCCCAGTGATAGAGCTGGTGCTCGCCGCGTAGCAAAGCTTTGGAACTCCTAGAGTGGGGTGCAGAATGAGCTTCACGTCCATATGTGCTTGCGACCTGCTTACCGTGTTCATATGCCCTGCCACTCCTCGTTGCCCTGAGGTGTGAGACCATTGACTTCTGTATGTTTTTGGAGATGTATGGCGCTGGTGTGCGCGCGCCCGTGCCGCCTGTACATAGGATGTACGTGTCTTCCATCGGCAGCCTTGCTTTACCGGAGAGAAGACCCAGAGCACCTCGCACCCAGTCATCACAGGAAGTGATCACGTTGTGCATGACGATCTCAACTACTCTGGTGTTGGGCCCACATAGGGTGTCGAAGGAGAGCGTGTCTCGGAAACCAGAGTCTGGGATGTAGTTGTCGTTCCATGAGAGTGCGAGCAGTGCTGGGAAGAGCACCGCATTTTCGTTGGGGGCAGGGATGAGGGATCCAACCAAGTGGAGAAAGTCGTTCGACGCCGAATATGATGATACGCTAAGAGTCTGCACAAGGGAAGCGTAGAAGAGGAAGTGATGGAAAGCCTGGTCTCTGGCTGCGCTCCCGGAGTACTTGGCATGCATATATCTATAGGGGCTTCCCTTGAGCTGATTGTATGCAACACAGCCAAAAAACCGCGCACCTTTGGATATCGGAGAAGTTCCAACCTCCCGAAGCCAAGTCTTCATATTCGTACACAAGTACATAGAGAAGGCGGCGGATATCGTGAAGGATCCGCCAAGAGACCCTCGATGTTTCCATGAAGAACAGCTTACTAGTAAGCATTAGAGATAGGAGGCCTGAGTAGACTGGCCTAGGCAGGTGGAAGGTCGGAAAATGGCTACAGTTGGGAACGATGAAGCTCAACACGCGTTCCCGAAGTTCATCCATAATCAGGGTGCGGATCGTGGCTGTCTCCTCAGCGCCGGAGACGTGAGTAATCCCTGTCTTCAGATCGAAGCCATATGAGATAGACGTGCCAGAGCTGGAGGCTGTGGAGGCTGACGAAAGGATGGAGGGGGTGACGGCGGCGGCGAGCGAAACGCGCAAAGCCCCTAGACGCCCATCCCAATCGTGTTGCGCCAGGGTTATGCCTCTCTCCATCGCGTGTTGTGCCCCAATCATGGTGCATTATTAGTGCAGGACGACAGCGACATTTTAAAATAATGCAATAAAATGTAACCGCCTCATTATGCTCTGCTGGTGGCAGTCTTTTCTATTAACAAAAAGATCGGATGTGAAGGAATCGAACTACGTATCGCACCAGCCAGATTGAACGCACACATGCTGCAATAACCGCTGCGTCATCTGCTTCTCTTAAGCATAGCAGGTACTACAGTACAATTGTAGTCTACTCGCGCTGGTTGTCTCCGAATTTGAGAATTTGCGTCTTCGCGCTGGTTGTCTCCGAGCTTGTGTCCCAGCTTCTACCCCCTCTATACATAGGATGGCCAACAATTCTCTACCTGCGCCTTTGGAAAACATCTATGCCTCTTATGAATGGCTTAGCGAGCATGTGGATACCGCACTTCACACTCGGCTCGGGAATACGGACCACTTGTCCGAAGCCAGGAACTTGTGCTCACGCCTTTCCGCTACGGTCGAGCAGGCGAGTCGCCAGTTACTGCAGATGTATTGATCATCTAACACATAGGGTGCAGCACATATCCATTGTTCCTCTGCGGGACATGGAAGCCATCAGGGGCAATCTACTAGCCATGCGAGATGCCCTACATCTGGCCGAACAACTCTGTATCGATTCCGTAGACAGCCAGCGATCCCGCTTGGAACGCATGATCCCAGTACTGGTGGGCGACCCTCAGTTCAAATTTCCCCAGAAGATCTGGCTTCTCTACGGTCAGGACGGACCACTCTTCGGCAAATCGCCGATCTCTACCACTGTCATCCCCGCACAATCCGTCGTAGGCTGCTCGAGTTCGGATTGTCTGAGCCAGGGCCTCCGGTATACACTGAAGAGGAACTTCCGGATGGAAGTCCCACTGGACATTATCGTGCGGGTGTCTCCAGCGACCTGTCCCAGATTTCCGACTCGGATCTCGATGCAGTCATCTTCTCTATCCACGAGCAATTCCCTACCTTCGGGCGGCGGATGATAGACGGTTACCTGTTGGTGCTGGGTCATCGGGCTCCAAGACGCCGCCTAGAAGACTCCTGTGCTCGTGTCATCGGACCGTCCACTGCTGCATTCGGACCGCGCCGTATCCAACGCCGTGAATATTCGGTTCCTGGACCTAATTCGCTATGACATCACGATGGCCAACATGGTGAGCATGATCAATTAAAGCTGTATGTACTTGCTCATGTTTGCGACCATGGGACTCATACGATGGAAAATTGTGATCCACGCGTTTGTCGACGGTTTCTCCCGGTTTCTTCTCGGGATCCTTGCTAGCAACAATAACCGTGCAACTACGGTTCTTCAGCTATTTGAAGACATAGCCCATCAGTTCGGATACCCCAGCCGTGTAAGGGGTGATCATGGCTCGGAGAACGTGCTTGTTGCGGCACAAATGGAGGAGATCCGAGGTGTAGGACGAGGATCCTACATCTGGGGCCGGTAAGTTCTATTAGCTGTGTTAGTGCACAGATTGGTCCTAAGTTGGTTTCGCTCCGGTCAACCAGCAGCGTACATAACATTCGCATCGAGCGACTGTGGGTAGACGTCACCGCAGGCTTTGGCAACAAGTGGAAAGAGCTTTTTCGCGAGTTAGAAGCTTTGCATGGTCTTGACGTGGACAACGATGCACATATATGGCTTCTACAACGCCTGTTCCTAGTCGCTATCAATGTGGACGCCTCCAACTGGGCCGCGACATGGAATCAACACGTTGTTGCCCGTCGCGGAGGGCGACACATGTCCCCGATGCAAATGTATTCTCATGGGCTCGCCGAACATGGCCAACGCGGCATCTACCCTCCACAAGACTCTCTACCCACTGGAAGCTCCCCCTATGCGGACTACGCCGACTACGGCATCGACTGGGATGCACTTGATCGTCCGGTGATACGCAGGCACCATGATCAGCACAACCTGCATGATACAACAAACCCCTTCCTAACCGACAACCCCTCCGGTCTCTCACACGTAGAGGTGCCAGATCCTCGCTGCCCTTTCTCACCTGAGCAGGTTGCTCTGTTGGACACCCGTCTTCAAATCCTCCCCTGCTTTGGTAGAAAAAATATGCGGACATGCGTGGAGCTTTGGATTGCTGCTTTACAGATAGCTCAAAATATCATGTAGTCTGTGGATATAACCTATATCAGGGTACCTTCGTGCTTCAGAAAAACATCGGAAACTTCGTGAACACCCCACGACACTGTATCGTAAAGTGAAGGCACCGAGATTATAGGCACCGATCCTGCCCAACGTAAACGGTCCAAGCCGCCCGCGCGGCGTGAGCCTGCTTCCGTTCCATACAGTATTTACCTGTACTAATGTCCTCGCGGTAATCCTCCTCAATGAGCCTCAGCGAATCCGACTCGACCTGAACTCTGTCCGCACCGGTAGTTTAGGACGAGTTTTTGAGTATGTCGCTCACAGCCCGCATCTCAACCCAGCTCTGGACATCCGCTTGTGTCATGCGCCCCGTAGTGAGTTGCACCAGAGTTCCAGTATATTGATTTTCTTGATCAGGCAGTCGGCACTGTCAGCTAGTAAGAGGCCCTGAAGAGACGGCCACAGGCGTAACCTATGTACGGCGTCGAATATGAACACCATTGTTGGAACTGTATCAGAACTTGCAGTCCAGCTCCCAATAGACACTTGAGCTTGCAATTCCAAGGGTAGATCTGAAGTTTTGTATTGAAGCCAGAGTGAAAGTACAACGCTGAAGGAGGTGCGCTAACTTAAAGCCGAGAGGCGCCGAACCGGGGCGCGATCCCGAAATTGAAGTACGAACCCGAAATCATCACCTAGATTGGAACTCCGAATGTATTGAAGCGGAAACAGCGGTGTGGACCGCTTTTCTGAACTCGATAAAACTTTTGTCCGCGGGTGCCCCTCATAGGTGGCAGCATAGAGTACATACGCGCAACAGGTTGTCCAAAAATTATTGCATTTGCAGTCAAATATCGCTGCCGTCCTCGCGTAACCTGAGCGACGCAAAAACTGTGTCTATTACGAGCAACTAGTAGCTGTTCTACATATCGTAACCCCTGCAGCTCGGGCGGGCAGTCGCCTAGCCATAGACCGTTCGCGAGGGCGTGCCGAGGGAGATGCTTGGCACGCAACGGTCCAATACATTCACTACACACCGACAACACACGGATACCGCCTACGATCCTGACCCCACCTTCATACAGTACCGGGCCAGACAAAGGACGCACGCATTCAGCCTCATCGTGCCGCACAGCTCGTGTAACAAGCTCCCCGGGGCGTGTAAGACAGTGGAGAGGTAAGTGATTTTCTGCATGTTCAGACATATTCCGGACGAGGCTGAGCCGAGCACATACCGCACAAGGACGCTCATACACATTCGCAGCAGACGTAGCCCGACACCAAGCCCGAACGAAGGAGGCTTGTTGGGCAGGTGTTGGCGGTGTCGGCGGAAACGAAGACGAGATGACCGTGTGGTCCTTCTCTGAGCGCTCGCGGTGTATCACAGTGTGGGTACGATTTGACTCACCGCGTAAAGGCAGGCGAAACAGCGCGACTAGGCGAGCGCACAGACCTGAGCATTGATGAGATTCGATCATGTCGGTAAACTCGACGCCTGCGCGCGCAGAGCGTCCTACCTTTAACCCATGGGCGCGGGCTGCGAGCACGAGAGAACGGTGGGATGATGATCGGGCCAACGTAGATAACACCACGACGACTGCGACAAGATGTTTGTCGCCAGCACAGGCGCTGACGGCGTCAGCGCGCGACGAGTAACGTTCGAATCGAGGGTTGAGCTCACACTGCGGGATGAGGCCCGCAACCGCAGGAAGCGCAATGAAAGCTTGACGACTCATACGCGGAGGTTGCGACGCTGCGGGAGGATGAGACACGTCATGAAGAGAGAAGTGTTAAATAGACTTACTAGACCCTCCGACCAAACGACTACGCAACAGCGCCATGATAACTGTGACCTCGAGACAACGACGGGCTACGATCGGAGAGGCGTGAGGATGATTCGATAGCACGAGGACGAGGGAGACTCACGTAGTCGCCACGAAGTCGATGATAGTAGAAAACGCCAATGTCGTTACGCGCGGTAGGTCTGTCGGACTTTTCCTGTGCGCATCGCGAGGGCGCTTCCCTCAAGATTGCCTCGAAAAACCCTCGGATCAGCCTCGCGTAGCCTCGCGATGCCTCTTGAGGGCGATGCGAGGCTTACCCGAGGGAAAAGTCGCCTCTTGAGGCCTCGCGAGGCATCCTGATGATTTGGCCCGCCGCGCGAGGCGCTTAGGGAAACGTCCGACATCTAACAGCGATACGTAATGATTACTAGAGGGTGCATACGAAGTGATTGAGGGGGCTTACCGCGAAAGCCACGTAGTGGTAGCTGAGAGGGGAGGAGGAGGAAGACGAGGAGACGACGGCATGCGCGATAGCCACAAAACCAATAGAGCCAAATAAAGGGGAAACTCGCGCTTGGTACGGGTAAACACGGGTGCATCAAAAAGTCACGTGCCGGAGGACCTTTTCACAAGAATTTGAAAGCCGATTCCTGGTGGAATCGGAACATATTTAGGGGGCGAACATATATTCCTTGGATAACCAGAAACTAATGTTGACGAGAGAAAACATGCGGAGTAGTTCGCTACATGGCACGGGGACGGCGGAGCTTGTCGAAGTAAACATGCCTAAGTGCCACATGCAGGGGAATGCGCCCCGCCGGATCAACCATGAGTAAGTTAAGGAGGAGATCCACTAGCTCCACGTCGTGAACCCGAGCCTAGAAGTAGTTCGCTTCAGCGTCTAACAATTTTGAAGAGAAATGTTGTGCGTACTGTGATATGTTCCGCCTCGAGGACGCGCTGCATGGCGAACGTATACTTAGCAGCGTTGTATGCAGCGCCTGCAGGGGGGAAGATAACGGAGGCGGCGAGAGCGGTGTGAAATGTGCCGGGCACCTGTTGCTCGACGGCGACGGCGAAGCCCAGTGGGAAACGGTCGAGTACCCGCTCAATGATAGCGAGGTGTTCGCGATCGCTTGCGACCTCTGCGTGGAAGAGATTCCCTAACAGATAAAGCTCCGCAATGACACATCCTACGGCGTATGTATCCACGCCGTAAGACCATGGTAGCCCTGCGTAAATATGTTGAGCTCAGCTCGTAACGGTACCACATACAGACTTACCGAGGATTAATTCGGGAGGTCGGTACATGGGCGCACAGTTGAGTCCTTTCATCCGTGAAGCTTGTTTGAACGTGACAACCCCACCCAAATCGATGATGCAGATAGCGGTGGACGCTAGAATTCTCTGAACAAATTGTGAGCAAATTTTGTCGTAAGGACTATAAGTGCATACCTTGGGGTGGAAGACACCGGCCCCATCCATTTGGCGTAGGGCAACGGTATCAGCCCGCCGAAGCGCGATGTTGTCCGGCTTGATGTCGGTGTGTATCAGACCCAAGGAGTGTAGGTCTAAAGAGGAGGTTAGATGACGTCGACCGGATGGATAAGTCGACTTACACGCTACACCGCGCATGATTTGGTTAGCTATTTCGCATAGATGGGCAGGAGGGAGCGGCACGAGACCTGCTCCTCCTTTGATGATGTCGCAGATGGTGAGGTCGCATAGCTCGAACACCGTGCAGCTGAACCCCTGGTCGACGCCGCTTCCCAGAACCTTCGCAAAGAGCCTGAACGACGGGTTACTCATAAGCGCGACAACTTATCGTACGCCACTTACGATATGTTAGGACTACACCCGCGTAGCAAAAGTTTGTAGACTCGCTCCTCGTGACGTACCCCGAGGTGGAGCCAGTCGAGTTTGTGTAGAACTTTGACGGCGACGGCCGTGTTAGTTACAACGTGTCGCGCTCGTACCACAGTGCCGAAGGAACCGCGGCCGATCTGGCGTTGTACACAATCTAGATAACGAGTTAGAGGGGAAAGCGGTGAGGCATGATTGAGACGTACATGTTCCGAGCAGCAGATCTCCCTCAGTGGGCACATATGCGCTGTGAAGATGTGAGCCGTACTATCAACATCGCCATGAATATCTATCATACCTCGCCCACAACTCATGCGGCTCGATGAGTGAGAGTATCCGTGCGCGAGAGGCAAGATCCACGGGACGTGCCGCCGCGTCTGCGTACGCCGCCGCATCTTCGTACGCCGCCGCGTGTGCGTAAGCCGCTGCGTTCGCCGACTCTGCCGTTTCTGCGCATCCTGTCGTCTCTGCACTGTGTGTCGCGTTTGCACTGCGCGTCGCGTCTGCACTGCGCGTCGCGTCTGCACTGCGCGTCGCGTCTGCGCTTTCCGTTGTTGCTAGCGCGCCACCATGGGCGGCCCCGGACCCTGTAAACATAACGCTAAGAAAGTAAACACAAAGGTTAAATCCCGGGATGACTACTCACTGGCTGCGGGTAAAGTAGCTGGGGTTGCGTACATGGCGATGGTAAAGTTCGGCGCGGAGGTAGGGGTAGAAGTAAGCCGGAGCCTGAAAACTCACCGCGGAAGACTGTCTCTTCTTATGCTCGGGCTGATACCTAAGCGTCTAGCTTCCAAGCGCATACTCTTCTTGCGCGTGCGTTGACACGAAGCCACAGAATACGCACGAAGCTAGCTGCAGTAAGCCGAGAGATCTAGAGCGGGGGAGCTGAACGTTGAACTATGTTGATGTTGGCATGGCGGTTACCAGCAGGTAGGAGGTGCGGGAGCCGTCGATCGGAGCCTGAACCATGGGGGCACGATTTAATCTCAGACTCCACGAACCGGGACGCTGATGAAGTGTACAAGGCGCCCGATCGATACCACCTATCATCGTTGCTCAACGGCGTGGTTGCTGATCTCGCGCATGTCCCACAGCGTTCGCCGTGCCGCGCTTGGCGTTGCCAGAGACCCATGGGACGATGCGCCCAGGCTGATTATCCCGCAGTTCAACGCTGTCCCGGTCAGTCGCGCCGCAACCCCACCGCGGCCGGCGATTCGCTTAACTGACATTTCTTTCTAGCTCACAAAAGACCCGCTGCGCCCGCCGTGCATCGAAAACGCCCGCGAGGGGGTGGTGCGCCTCGAAAAGGGCGACTTTGTCGTCTTACAGCTCCAGTTCCGCGTTGGCGACGACAAGACAATCGCCAAGGACTGGCAGGCCCTCGACACCCTCGAGTCTACCGCGCTCCCTTGGTCGCCATGGGACGGGGTGCTCGCGCCTGCCTCCCTCGATCGTGCTCTGCCCACCGTCGAGTCCGCCCCCGCGATCAGCTTCGGCCCCATGGGCGGTCGTTCGCTGCGCGCGCCGTTCGATCATGACGCCATTCACCGGTACTTTGCTGACTTTATCGAGCACGGTCAGGATGCGTGCATGCGCAGCCGCCTGTGCGCGGGGCATGCGGACTTGGCAGACAAAATCAACGACTCCGTGTTAACAATGGGGGATAAGTTGCTCAAGAGAATCGCTGATGACGGCGGCATGCATTTGTTATTGGAGCGCCTGCGTGAATGCGGCAGGCACGATATTGTAGCGAAATTCCAATAGAGATACATGCGTAAGGATCACACCATACGCACGCGAAATACATGCATCTGACGACGGCGGGACGATTTCTAGCGGCGTTACCCAGCTGGAGAGAAGAGACAGAGAGCATGCGAGGGTAAGGGGTGAAGAGACGGCCGCCGCTGCTTTCAGATGTCGCCGGGCTAGCACCGGCCCTGCTCATTCGAGTCATACCCCCGCTACCTCTGGCCGTGGGTCTTCATAGCGTCCCCAGTATTGTTATAAAGCGCAAGCCTCATATGAATATATCATCCCTCTCTCATCAATGACTAGACTTCTGGGCCTGGTTTGATGATATCTTGATCACGCCGGATGTCATATGTTGTGTAGTTGACGCGCAGAACCTTGTCGCGATAGATGCGATCGTTCTGCGCTTCAATGTGGTCGAGCTGCGCATCGGTGAACGCGCCAGGTTCTCCACCTTCCCCGGGCGGCAAGTCAAGGAGTCTACCAAGGAGGTGTGCGCGGAGGAGAGGAATACAATTCTGTGCGGGAACGTCAGAAGCAAGACAAGGCACAACATGTGCGACTTACATCCGCGGCCGGATCATTGCGATTCCTGGAGATCCAGTTGCGCATGCCAAGCGCCAGGCGCGAGGTGTTCGAGATGGCATAGTGATCGAGAGGGTTGGTTGGTGGGAGTGGCGGATCTGGGCGACCATCTGCATCGTGTCCACCAGGCTCTGGATGTGGCAATGTGCCAGACGGAGGGGCCATACGAGCAAGGCGGTCTTGCCTCAGACGTTCGCGGCGCGGGACATAGTCGTCAAGCTGCCGAATCGCGCGCATGAGTGCCGGGCGGCGTAGATGCTTGGCGATCTGAAGCTCGTAGCCAATTTTATTTGTGTGCGCATAGAACCTCTTGACGCGACGATGTTCAAGTTTGCCCCGCATAATTGTTAGCGTATGAAACCGGCGAACGCTTGCTGCACGTACTACTTGTGTGCTCCCGGTGTCACTCGGGCTGGTCATCTCTATCGCATCTGGGTAATCCGGGACGCCGTGGAACTTGAAGGTGTTGAGTACGTTGTAGTGCACTGTGCGGCGTTCGCGCACTTCCGGCGGCACATTGCGACCGCGCTTCTCCTTACGGTGCACGCGCGCGTCGACTTCCCTAGGGAGCTCGTGCGTCTCCCATCGCTCGCAGGTCGTCGCCGAGAAGTGCCGCATCGTATCCGTCATATGTGTCGTTGCGGCACGGGGGATCTTGATCGTGACAGCGGTGTGTAACCTCAGCTTGGCGAGGGCATGCCAATTTGCGAGCTCGAAGAGCAGGTCGGCGATGGTCTGGTCATCCCGTAGTGGCATGAGCCCTTCAAACGCAGGTATCATGGCCTAAAGATGCAGGTTAGTGCGCGCAAATAAAAGAGAGCAAGAACAACTGGCCATCAAGAAGTCCTCGCAGTCCAGAGCTGCGAGCTGCTTGCGCGAGCTCACCTCCTTCCCAAACCGGCGGATCTTGTCTTGGCCATAAGTTGGCATCGCACGCATCCTACGAAGGCCCGCATCAGCATTGTCAACATGGAAATCAACTACGTTTGCACCCTCGGTTAAACTCTTGCGCCACATCGTCGCCTTGGGCAGCCGTAAACCGCGAGGTCGTACCAGTTCTCTCGCATGCGCCAGGCTAGAGAAACAGGCAGGGGGCATACTCTTGCCGTATACGGTTACCGGGCAGGCTCAGCTCGTCAAAGGACCCCTGGCATTTCGCCCAAACCCCTGATCCAAAGCGTCGAAAAATCGCCATGCCCGTTCGGCCTAAATCGGTCGGATTACCCGAGACACCCGCGCCATTTTGAGAGCTTTGTCCGGGTGGCGGATGGGGCATTCGGATTCGCGCGGAGTGCCCGGGGCGGGAGGATTAGGCCTCCGGAGAACATGAAGATGCCGGCATTCTCGCCGTCTTCCCGCGACAGGCCGTATGCAGCCTGCGGGGGCCCAAAATCAACGTATACGAGCACGATCCCTGAAAATCCTACCATAAGCCGTTTCACCGGCCCGGACGAAGCTTGGGTCCCGGAGGGGGTGTGTGGCTGCGGATGCCTGTTTGTCGTGTGCACAATAAACAGCACAGCGAGGCGGCGGTAATTATATCGTCTGCGGCCGCGATGGCAAGCGAGCCCGTTTAGAATGGCTATTTGTACGTCAATCAGTCATCTCGAGGCGCCGGGAGAAAAGCATCGCCTGCTGTGATTTTGTGGAATCGGTCGAAGCGCGGGAACTCGATGCTGCATAGCGCGGGGTGTCAGATCCAGAGAACTGTGAACTTGTGAAAGCCTTGCGTACGTCAAGACGACCACGGCAGCGACGGAGTCGTCGGATGCATCAAGGAGAGCGGGG